TGGAACACATTCACAAGGAGCACACAGAGAATCTTGCAAAGACCAAGACTTGTAAATAGATCAGAAATGTATCAATCAATTTTAAGATTGTTTTCTGTGAATGAGACAGCATTCTATAAATCATAATTCCTTAATAAAATTGCTACTCTTTTGCCATGATCAATGCCCTTGGTTTCAGTGTAGCTGGACAGATATAACTGATGATGAAGCTGATTCATTATATTTTCTTGCTAGAAATAAATCTTAACTAAATTGAGGTCAATGACAAAACAACTATTGCCACCAGTGGAAGCAGGGATGAACCTTCAGAGCTGCCTTTGTGCATAAGGACAGATCTGTTTCATTTCAGTTGTTGCTGCTTTTCTTCTTTTTTCCTGTTTTACCTTTGCAGTTTTCTGAGAACAGGACTAGAAGCCACTGGCATGTTTTAGCATGAACCTGTGTGAGAAATACTTTCCAGTGTCAAAATGCAGCTCCCCAGTCATTACCTTAAGCAGGCAGAAAAGACACTCAATGTTTTCTGAACTCCAGCTCCTCTCTGCAGGAAGGGATCTCACTACTGGCTTAGAACAAAAAATGGCAGCACCATCCCTGATGGTTTAGTCTAATTACAGAAAAGTAAATGTAGATGAAAGTGTTCAACCATTCTTTTGAATACGAGAATTATGTAAGACGAAGACAGTGATAACTGTTACATTTTCTGTGAGCATTCAGATAAGAACTTCAAGGAGTGGTAAGAAAATTTCAGATACGAGATCATTTTGGCATAATTTCTCCTTTGAGAGAGTTTTATTTTTGACATTCCACCTGAATATGAAAGTTTGTACTCTGAAACTTGCATTGAATCAAAACCTGAGCAATAGGCAGTTAGGCAGAAAAAAATTCAGACATGTTTATACAAAGTTTTCTTGTGCAGCTCCTGCTGGAGACGGTGGGAGCTCTACAAATGAAAGATGGGTGGAGTGGACCCCTTTTAAAATTGTTTCGATTTCTTTCTTTTTTTCCCCCCTCCTATCCGAGGGATAAAAATGCTTCTGCTCTCAGTTTAAAACACAATCAGATTGACCATCCTTATGCTGTTGCTAGCATGAACCTTGTTTCTTGTATGGGTGAAAGCCAACAGCAAACACCATCTGCTTGTTGAAGGAGCAGGCGAGTCACCACCGAGACAAAATCTCACTCATTAGGGCTTGGGAAACACCAAGGCCATTACCAAAGCTCCACAGAAATACCCTCAGAAACCCCTAATGCCACATTCTGTGCATTTGTTTATTGATGGTCTTGCTCTGATACTGAATAAATCTTCCCCTGTTAAACTGAAGAGGGTTTTGCCCCAGATCCAAATTCCTATCAGGTGCCATTGTGTGAAATTTTACTGAGTAGATGGTCTTGGAAAATTATCTTAGAGCTAAGAACACAGAGATTCAGATTGTGATAGAGCAAGATAAATAGTAGTGGCACATCAGTTTACCCTTGCAGGAATAATGTGTATCAATTACTGTTGTTAAGTGATTCTTAAGTGCTATTTCTCCACAATATCCATAGGAACTAAGAAAAAGCTGTGACTTTTTATTCAGGCATTTAAATTCCAGCAAGTTCTAAAAGACACATCTTTGCCTTAGATTTTATTCATTTTATTTTATTTATATATTTTATTATGTAAATAGAAACATACACTTGAAAAAATGCCATTTTATCTGAAATAATAGTTGTGCACTCTCTGATTTAGTAAAGTACTATTATTTTGGAAGTTCGCATTTTCCATTCTGCCCTAGAATGATTTTAATATTTTGTACAGCAGATAGAAACAAATGAATAGCACACAAAAGAGCTAAGTTATCTGCTTTAAAATACATGTACAAATATGTTTCCTTTGCAGGAGGCTTTCCAGCAGGACTAATGTAGCCGTGGAAAGGGGTTTGAACCCTTTAAGTGAGGCAGAAATAAGATGCACAGCTCCATGGTCGTCTGCCATGACAGGAAGAAAGAGCCAAGTTTATTCACAAACACACTTGGGTTTATAGCAGGACTGCAACTCCCAGAGCAGAGAAAAGGAGATTGGTTCAGAGAGAAGACACCCCATGGCCAGGGCCTGGGCACACACCACAACAGGGCTTCTATCTTGGTATTAATTCCTTTTTATTTGGACCAAATTATCACCCTGGGAGAAATTCTCCCTGGCCTTGAGCTGGAGCAGCTCATGGGCTGGGAACAGAGCTGAGAAGCTCCAGCCTGGAATATTTTCCAGGCTGTAATTTTCTTACTTTCTCAATATGTGTCCCACAGACTGCCCAGCCACTTCAGTAGTTATGAAAGCTCATAGAATGGTCTGGGTTGGATGGGACCTCAAAGCTCATTTCTTTCCATGGCACTCCCTGGACCAGGCTGCTCAGGGCCCCATCCAAGCTGCCTTTGAAGGTGGATATTTCTACTGGACTGCTGTCAGATCCATAGCTATGGCAAATCCTTGCCTGCAGAAGGCGAGGAGCAGTGGGGTTCCTGCAGGAGAGCTGTCCAGCAGTGGTGCCTTCTGTTCCCTTCAGCATCTTCCAAACGGGAGGCACCACACTGAGCTGCCTGGGACACCTTCTGTGAGATCGTGGCTGTGACTGGAACATGTGAGATTTTCTCCTCAGCAGAGGAGAACCTTCCTTTAAGCACGGACTGTGAGCATCTGGAAAGCAGCTGCTGTTTGACAGCACTGACCCTCACCTGCAAAGTGCAGTGGGCAGAAGGCTTAGCCCCCTTAAACTTCTGCTCAGATTCATTTACAGTCTTTGGGATTTGATATCTTGCAAGGATTTTGTGGTGGGGTGGATCCATGAAAGAACAACAACCTCTGCTGATAAAACCTGGTGTTGTGATGATGCTGGAGCAGATGAAGGTGTCAGCACAACCCCACAGTTGGTTGTCAGTGTGAAAGTTCATTCATCTTGATATTTCTGAGCCAACATTTCCAACAGAAACTGAGGCGTTTGTATTTGACCATCAAAACTGAGAGCAAAATTGCAAAGGACTGTGTGGACATAGGAAATTGATATGTGCAATTATGAAACACTTTCCAGAGGTGTCCATGGCAACTAAAATTCATAACTTTATGGGATAACAAAAATCCCAATGGAGATCATGATCGAAATATTGACTTTATGTCAAACTGTAATTCCTCTCTCTACTCCTCATCTGACCTTTTCATATTCACAGGATACAAATTACTGGCCTCTTCCTTTCCATCAGAAGATAAGGACCTTATCACCTTTCTCCTTTTCTGCCATCCTTATCACTCGACAGACAGGAAGTCTGTGCTCGAAGGTGGTCTAATTGATACATATCTAATTAAGGCAAAGCGTTTTTTCTCAGCTTGTATTCAGCTTTGATGCGTGTTGCTTTGATTTCAGACCTGAAGAACAGCTTTGTGTGCCTGAAAGTTACTCTTTTTTAAACTGTACTAATTGGGCAAATCAAATGTACTACAAACTTGGCCTTCACTGTGCACTAATACATTCATTTTTGTTAGAGAAAAAGAGAAGACAATTTGTCATGGATCTAGTTAAAAGCTATGTGTGAGACTTGCAGCTCTTCAGAGCCTTTGAGATTAGGACAAAATGTTCAAATATGATGAGATAGAGAAAAAGGATTCAGTGGACACAAAGGTATAGAAGTGGATTAGCAAGTAAAACAATGTTTGGACTTACTCTCTTAAAGCAAGATGCAGGTTCCAAATTTCTTACCTTCCTGTGGCCTGTTGCTGTAGGGGAATAAATTGGGATTCTGTAGAATTGAGGAGCTAATATAGGGTGCCCACCATCCTCCTATTATAATTTTGTTTAGTAACTGTCTTATTGCCAGTTGCTAATAAGATTTGTGATTTTTTTTTTTTTTCTGAACTAATTGCTCTTTTGATTTGGACTTTTTAAAGTATGTGATAGGATTGCTGTCTATAATGCAATAACCACAAGAATCTCATCGAGTTTTCTGAGGTCAGACTGTCACCATGATTTTGTTTGCTTATGCTGAGCTAGTACTTGGCAGCTGGTGTGGTAGCTCAGCCATTCTCTAAATTAACAGGTTGTTCTTTGTGTTTGAAGGGGGATTGATGTGATTGAAGTGATTGCTATGCAAATGCCTAAACAAATTGCTCTGGGAGAGAGAGGGTTCCAATCAAGAAAACTGGATAGGTAAAAAGACAGTTTGTTGGAAGAACCCTGGTATGTTCAAGCATGTGCAAAGGACTTGAGAATAAAATTTCAGACCAGAAAATGATTGGGAAAGCACAATTTTACTCTAAAAATCTTTATTAATGGAAGTTCAAGGATGTATTTTTGTTAGATTTCTTTGGAGGCAAAAGTCCTGATGTAGATACGAGACACAGTGAGAAAAAGATCAAGATTTATTTTGCTGTGATAGCAAAGTTGGGCCAATCCTCACAGTGTTTGGCTTCCAAAGTTACTTGAGAGTCTATAGAAAAATGATCATTAAAGTTCTTAAATACATTTTAATAATATTGTCAAGTCACCCAAACTTCTTTTTTTCAAAGGACTTGGAGTCAACATGTTTTTTTCTTAAGAGCTGGTGCTCCTGTCTCTGTGGACCAGCCATAGTTATCCCAAATCTTATTGCAGGGCTTCATTGTGTTGGCAGGGCAGGAGAATCCTGTGTCCCACAGAACTTTCAGAGTTCACCTGCTGGTTGAAGTCCCTTTACATTTCAGCATATGGAAGCACTAGATTAATTGTTTACTTATGCTTAACTGATACACTTACAAAGTGTAATAGTAGAGGACTGGCCTAATTCTTTACATTTGTATGCACACAGGTTTTGTTATTTTTTCCACAAGTGATGCCATGGACTTCATAAGGTAATGGGAGGATCCCAAAAACACTGGTTTTCACCTTCAAACTACCTTTTATTTACACACAGCAGTATATCATTGACTAAGATTGGCTTTTGAATACATGTGTAACATAAAACTAATATACTTTGTTGTTGGTTTTGCCTTGCAGTACAGAATTGGACAGCTGTACATGATCAGCAAGCACAGCCATGAGCAGAGTGACCGAGGGGAGGGTGTGGAAGTGGTGCAGAATGAACCCTATGAGGATCCCAACCATGGCAATGGTCAGCTAACAGAAAAACGTGTCTATCTCAACAGGCAAGTGCAGTAAAACTGCTTCTCCCAGCATGGACTGTAAGAAAAATTTGCAAGGATTGCAGGCAATAGCCTTTCTGTTTCAAAAGATGTTCCCTTGAATGCATGCAGTTTCCTGGTAGCATGGGGAGGTGGGATAGATCAGTGACTTGAAATAGAGGGATTAGCTGTTATTCCTTCTAGAGCATCTTCTCCATGAGAAGGAATTAGAACTTGGAATAAGGATATACTGAAAATCAAAACTTTTGTTTCCTTTCACACTTAATTGTTTGTCATTTTGTTTTCCAAAATCGCTGGGAAGGGGGAGCCAAAAAAACAACAAAACCAGCTAAGTCCCACCCTACAAGAAAACCAAAACTAAACCATTGAAAAGGTTTAAGTTTCTCTCATCTCATAATCATGTCACAAAGCCAGCATTTTTGCTGACTGTATTTGGCCTCAGCAAAATTAATTGACATTGTGAATGACCATTGTACAATGTCAGCCTTCTGGACCACTAGGCTTAAAGACATGGTGGAAAATTTGGGGGTTTTCTCCCTGAAGTTCCATCATTCCTTAGAGTGAAGTGTTTGTCTTCCTGTGCTGACCTGATACTGCTGAGGACCAATGTCTCCACACTCACAGGCTGGAGATGTTTAGAAATACATATTTGTGCAATATGAGATATATTGCACAATCTGTTCCCATTTTTACTACCTCTGATTGAATTGAATACCACTGCTTTTTTCTGAAGTTCTTCTTTTCCCCTGGACCTGTTTCTTTTTATTAAACTTATTCTCTGCAGCATTTTGGAGTGGGCATATAAACACTGCAGCTATTGCTTCTACATTGCAAGTTCCTCCTGCCCTGCAAACCTGACATATCTAACCTTAATTCAGGCCAAATTGAATCACCACTGATGTTACACACACACACACACACAAGGGCTCAATAAAATATGTCTTGCCAACATTTAATATTATTGTAAGTATTCTCTCACAGGCTAGATATAGGATTTGGGAAAAATCAATATGTATTCCCACTGCAGAGCTCCCACAAGTCATGGGTTTTTAAAAAATGTTTCTGGGTATTTCTTTCCTGAATGTTAAAAATAAGGCTTTAAGCACTAAAGAGCATATTCAGAATTGCCACTTCAGGGCAATTCAGAATGACCAGAACATCCTAGAAGCCATGTACAAACCATACCTGGGAAGCACGAGATTCCTGGTGCTGCAGGCAATGGAACACAGGATTTCTTAGCCAAAGATAGCTACAAACATTGCCAAAGTAGATCTTTGTGCCTACAACAACTCAGGACAGTTACCTGCAGCTGTGCTGGATGTTTGAAATCAGGTTCACTGAGTTTAATGATAATTCTGAGTCCTCCATCACCAGATTTGCAATTTGAATCTGGGTGTGGTGTCACAATGCCACGAGATATTGCATTACTGTTGAAGCTTTGTGGAAAGGATCAGGAGATTTTCAGGCCACTGTGGATTTTGCTGGCAGGCCAGGATGTCTCTGGAGGATTTCACTCAAGGCTTCCATACAGGATGTGCTGGAAACTTTGCCTCTGCCTGCCTTGCTTAGGAACACAACTTCCACCAGCACAGTTCTCTCTCTCAACTTTTCTTCTTCCTGGGTCCACTGCCCTAACAAACTTTGCTTTGCTCGATTTTGATCTGAACTGATATCTCTTAAAGAAATTTGAGACTGAACTTCATCTCGGTGGAGGAGAAATAAGGAAATAAGGAAAAGAAAAAAAGCTAATGTGATCCTCATACCTGTGCTGCTGAAATAGAGATATTAACTTTTCTTTAAGTGGACCTTGGAAGAATTCATGTGTGTCTGTGACTGGGACTTGCTAGTAATTCTGAGTATAATTTTATTTTTGCTCATAAAGTTTTTTTTTTTCAGGATGTGCTGTACTGGTGACAGTACATATAGGTATAGATAGACAAACAAATATGCCAAAAACAACAATAAACAAAAAAAGTGCAAAATGAGCAGATGTATGTTTTCTAGTGTCAATGTAACCTTAGTTATATTTAGAATTGTTTATTGCCTCTTCTTTCCTGCTGGAGCAATGTTTTCAGAAGCTGAAAGTCTGCATCCTCTGGTATTTATAATTTAGGCATCAGAATAAAGTTTAGCAGGGTAAGGGAAGCATTCATAAACACACTGACAGAGGCTGACAAACAGAAAATCTGATACAGGGAAGTCTATTATGCAGGATGTAAAATGCTGCTTAAAAGTCTGTACACAAGAAAGGTTTATGTAAAGAAAAGAATCCAGTTTTGAGCAATGTCATCAAAGAGCAAAAGTCAATGCACTTGGCTTTGAATCTGTAGATAATGTACTAACGTCTGCATTTTGCCTCTGGACAAATAAAATATTTATATGTAGCCAGATCATGGTTAAATAAGCCTTCATGATCCCAAATGTATTTTCTTCAGAATTTTGCTAATATGGAAAGTTAATGTACTTTCTGCACACAGTTATCTAAACAGAACTATTTCAACATTTACACTCGGGAAATTGAGGTTTGGAAGCATCTCCTGCAGCTCAGTACAGATTCAGGCTTGGCCTGGCTGCTCTGCTCAATGCTTTGCCAGACCAACACCATTTGATCTGAGTCCCCCAAGTGCAGGGATATTTGTGGTGCCCGAGGTCTCCTGTCCTTGGAAGAACTAGTTCTGCATCTTTGTCCCTGGCAGCCTCAGTGCTTATAACTGAAGTCATTAAGAGAGGGTTGAAAGATGAATTATAGTGAACTTGCCTTTTCAAATGTTTCTTTGTTCATCATTTTTTGGTACCCTCTGTGACCAGAGCACTGGAAACGAGAGATCCAAGAGCAATGGTAAAAAATGCTGCCACCCTTGCATAGTATTATTCAATTACCCTTTAATGATCCATTCAAATGGTGTATCTATGTCTTTAATTTCTGATTCTGCTGCCTTTGTACCACTACACTGGTGAGTTTTCTTGACAGAATGAGCTCTGAGCTGTAATGTCAGTTCCATTAATTTTCTTCACTTTTGTTATTTACTTTTCCCATCAGCAAAATGGGACTAATGCTGCCTACCAGCCTCACGAGGTGTTTTGAGTGATCTGCTAATTTTAATATAAAAGCTTCCTACTCAGGAATTGGTGTTGGTAATGTGGGAACAGCTGCGTGCCAGGTGAGCTGAGCATGAGGGTTTCAGTTCTGGCAGAGAATATGAAGGAAGAAGAAAGAATCCATAAGAAGAAATCATGGATTCGGGATGAATGTGGACTGAAATGCCACATTTCCTCCTGACCTCTTGTTAGAGAGTGCCTCCCTGTGGCTGAGCACACGGTGCCACCCTTACACCTGGCCTGGCCTCACCTGTGGAGTGTGGCCAAAGGTTTCAGGCCATGAATTCCCAAAAGGAGCAGCCTCAGTTCAGCCCAATCGAAGGTTGTTGCTCTGGCACCGATCTGATCCCTCTGTGAGGGGAGCACGGCTGAGGCAGAAAATGAAAATACTCCTGAGAAGTCTGGGTGTTGCTGTATCCCTCGAATGATGGGTAAATTTGGAAGTGTCTTTATTTCTACAGTACACGTACGTCATAATATATTCTAATTTTACATTTTATTTTTACTTTCAGCAAACTGCCTAGTTGGGCTAGAGCAGTTGTTCCCAAAATATTTTATGTTACAGAGAAGGCCTGGAATTATTATCCTTACACAATCACAGGTAAGGAACGTGGCAGAAATGATTCCTGCTTTGTGGTTTAGGGATAGTTCAGTTTATCTTCAGAAACTCCAAGTTATATTTTGAACTACAAGCACCAAGTCTCTTTAACCACTCCTGTTGAACTGCATCTATTTTTTACCTTATATTTACTGGTGTCAGGAAATGAAGGTTATAGACTAAGGAGAGGTAAAAACTGGAGTGTTGTATCTATGCAATTTCTTGTTTGCAAAGAAAACATCAGGTGCTTGGATTCTGTTGGTATTTATTGTCCCATAGGCTTTAGTCAAGTATAAATCTTCAGACTCTGACACAATCATTTTTATTATTAATGTGTGTTTACTGTAAGGATATTGCATAATTGTTTTATTTCACGTCTTTTTTTTTTCTTTCCCTCTTCTTTTTTTTTTTACAAATGGACAATTGGAAATCAGAATACACAGTAAGTTTTTCTTCCTCTTTTTATTCTAAAAATAGAAAAATTATGTAAAATATAGTAGTGGAATCCAATCTGATTCCTTCTTAATATAACTTATTCGTAATTCATTCAATTGTGAAAATTTATTTTAGTTATTTGTTTAAGCAATTTAAAAGGAAATTTGAAATAATTCTAAGGTGATCGTATGAATTGTTTTTCTTTATCACTCAAAAATAGTTTGATATGTTTTTACTTACCGACTGTAAGAAAGAGAAGCTTTTATAAAAAAGGGTGAGGATTTTAAGGTTCCAGTTGTTACATGGAGACATGAGAACAGATTTTATTTTATTTATTCTTTTATTAACTTATAAGATGCTCATCTCTGGTATAGTATCTGGGAAACTGTACAATCTGTAGACAAAATTAAAGATAATCTGGGCACAGTGCCCAGAAAAATCAGCTATTCCCTCTCACAGAGCTAAGGCAAAATATAGCACATAAATCATGAGAAAAATTGTTTAAATGTGCTGGCCTCGATAATAACAATAAGTTTCCTACAGCCTTTGGAAGATGAGGAGGGGATGGTGAAGAGGTTCCAGGTGAAGGGACCTTTCAGAAACTCCTGCTTTGGTTTAGCTTGAACTTCTGACTGCAGATAAACATAATGTAGATGTTTCTCTTAATTCTGCAGTGCTCAAAATGTTTGTGCATATTTTTTCAAAGCTCATAAAGCAAAAAGAGAAAAAACTATATTTTAGTGTGATAAAAAGTAAAAAATAAAGGGATTTAAAGGCTCAGATCTGAAAGCTGCAGAGCAAGAGTTGAAGCTGTGATAGCCAGGTTTGAAAATCCAAAGCAACAAAGTGCTTTTCAGTATGTGCTACAGGTACTTAGAATATTCATTTGATTGTCAGAGGAACTCCAAATGTCCCAGCATGGACAGTGGTGATGAGGGACAGATTCTCAGCTGGTTTTGCCAGAAGAGACTTTCAGTAGGGTCTGTCAGAGTTCACATTCACATTAATTAAGGTTTACCTTTGATAGCATATTTAGTTTTAAGGCAGGGAAGTTGACATTTGCTGCACTGATATCTCTCCATGGTAAATTTTTGCTTTAACTGAAAGTAAATTTGAATCTTTTAATGTGATTTTTTTTTTTCTTTAACTGTAAGAGACAAGTGGGGATGATGCAAAGGGTGGTGGCAGACAGAAATACATATCTAAATTTGAAATGCAATACATTATTATAACCAAACAGCAGTGCTGTACTCAGAGAATCTGAATCAGGAGGTGATGTCTGTCTGGTCTGGTAAAACAACACCTGGTGCAGGTTGGAGGAAGGTACAGCTACAGAAATGTTCAAGAGCATCAGCAGAAGTGATTGCAGCGTTAAAGAGACATGGAAAGAAAAATTTAATCAGTCCAGAAATGCAGAAGGTAGGCAAAGCAATCACTAAGTGACAGTGTAACTGCCTAGGGGAGCTGGGGACTAATTACTCACCATGGTGCAAGGAAACACAACTAGAAATACTGGGAGGAGATCAAGGAAACTGAACTTCAAACAAAAAATCTAAAATATGTATTAATGGAGCTGATAGGCTACGAATTTCTCTTCATTGAATACAGAGACAGTGCCTTTGCCTCATGCTGTTGAATCTAGAACAAAAATGTTAAACATACCACTGGGAATAACTGCTATCCCTGTCTGGAATATTTCTCTAAATTTGATCTTCTGTATTCATTAGAGAATTCTGAAAGAAAAAATAAGCCCACAGACATTGCCCAAAATATGTAAGATAGCTTAGAAACCCTTTTCTTAAAGATCATAAATTCTCTCTGAAGGGTCTGTGGGACATGGTGAGAGTCAAATTGAGCCTCATTTCAAGGAAAAGTCATTCTAAAGGCAGGCCAATAATTGGATAAATAAAGCATAATCTTATCGAGTCAAGTACATACTGCTCTGTGGTATTTTCACACCTTATTAACCTTGTAAGCTCCATTCTAAATAAAGAGAACGACCTTAAAGGCTCAGCATGTTATTTCAGTGAGTGTTAGTGATTTGGAAGAGGATGTGAACAGCAAACTGAACCTTACTGACAGTCTGAAGGTTTTTCAGTTGTAAAATATGAAGGCTGTTGAGAAATTGCATTCAAGCCCATACTCTGGCATTCAGAAATGCTCTATGGAATAATTTCATGAATTTGGTTCTCCTGTGAATATTATGGAATTCATAAATATGACCTTCTTAAAGACCTGAAATTAGGACACCTAAGAGAAATTACATCAAAAAATAATATTCAGAAATTTCAGAATATTGTTCTGTGCCATGGTTGTATAAAAAGCCAAGAGCAATTGGATGCATGCAAACAGGAATGGAAATTATACTGTCATGATATTAGTTCTCTGTAATCTGGATCCAGTTATGATGGCATCTGCTTTAAGCAATGTTATTTGTTACACAGCAACCCCCTAAATTTGACAGCAAATACCAGGTCTGCTACTGGGTATTGACAACCATGTTAACAGCATGTAAAGCAACTGACACACTTGAGATAATGAGTTTAACAGAATATTGCATAAGTGATGCTTTTGTGGGGTGTAATTTGTGCTATAGGGTCATGTCAGCAGAGCATTTGCAAATGCACCTCGTTAAAGCTGCTGTGCAAAAAACTTCCTCCCAGGAAGATGACACACAGGGACTGTCCCAAGAAGTGCTGTATCAGAGCTGGAGCTAATCCTTGAAAGCTTCCTGCTGACATTGAGAGGGAGGAGGAAGACAAAAATACTGTCAAAGCTGAAGCCAAAGGAAGTCATCCAAATTTGGGGGTACTATTTAGGGAATAAGATATTCCTGTAAAGTTCAAAGTTTTAGTGGTTGGGGTGTTAGCTCAGAATTGTATGTGAGAATGTCTCTTCAACACTGGAGCTGCTTTGGTTTTGATCTTGTCATTAGAAATCTGACAAGATATCTTGCTAAAATACATGTTTAGGTTTTATCTACAAATCCATTTATATTGTGAGTAGGTTGATGTTAAGATAATAAACCTGGGATAGCGTATTCAGGATGCAGCAGAAAGGGAGCCCAGTAGGAGAAACTGCAATGGATTCCACTCCATAAGCAATTCCAGGACTTGGGTATGGTCAGGTGCCTCCTGCCCAGCTACACCTGCTCCTGGGGAATGGGTGCTGTTAGCTGCTGCCTTTGGAAAGAATTCCTTTGCTAGTCAGAGCCTTTTTCTCTTGGAGGATGGAGACAAGATGCCTTGCAGTTCTCAACAACCCCTTGTGTGCCAGCTTATCACTGCCTTTGCAAATATGTGTATTTAGTGGAAAATATTTATACTGTTCACAGTGGCAAGAACAACTGAACTTTCAGGAGGCTTTGTTATTTTTATTTCTGAGGTTGCCCAGCAAGATTAGAAATAATTAACTAGAAAGCAAACTTGTGTCTATTGCAAACCAAACGAAAAAGAATTACATAGAACTAAGTTTCTTTACCTGCATTGGGATATTGTTAGAAAATAAACAGCACAGAGCAAATATCCATTCGACTTGCTCAAGTGACAGTGGAGATTCTGGACAAAAAAAAAGAGAGGAGCCTCAAGCAAACAAATAATCAGATCATGAATGTTTGGTGACTAAACCATGGTACAAAATCTTCATGTGATCAAAGTACACTGAAAATGAGCCAAAGTTTAGCTCTCAAGCTGGAGTAGAAAGTGGTTAGGAAAAATACAAAGGAAGTTTAATCAAACTCCTCTGGGTTTGAGGGTGCAGTTCAAGTGTTTACCAAGGATCAATTCAAACAGACTTGCCACCTGACCTGAACGGTTTTGGTGTTGTTAGCAATATTGCAGTTTTGGGGCTGAAATTTAAAAACAGCTGGATAATTTTTTTTGTGCATAATTTATGGACAATTGTTAGTTTCACAGTGATATAGACAAAACAAACATTAAAATGGCATTGTCTTCTCACGAGGAGGAGGAGCATTCCTTCAGCATGCCAGCGTCCCAAATCTCCTTATGAATAGAATATAAATCCAGAATATTTATGAAAAACAGTTATGGAACAGAAAGCAGGAGACAACAATTCCTTTGATGATTTATCACAATGACATTTATTCTTCTACAGCAAATGACTGAGGAAAATAAAATTAAGTCATCTGGTATGTGTCAAGGCCCCAGAGTGAGAGTTGCTAAATGGTCCATTACTGACCTGCTGGTTTCTGATTACTTTTGAGAACAGGCATGTTTTGTGCTTCACTTAGCTGCTGGTTTATCCATGAAGTAAATTATCTGGAAGGAATGTTTTTTGTATTGTTATTTTTATAATGAGATGACTTGAGAAGGAAAACAGTTGTTTCAGATAAACATTGTTGTAGACTTTTTTCCTGTCTTCTCTTTATCTGATTACCAGCCCTTGAAATTTAGATCTAACCCCTCACTCTTCAGTACTGAAACTTTTCTGCAGTTTGAGGATTTGAAAAGTCTGCATCAAAAATGCAGCAGAATCCTGCAGAATACTGCAGGATTAGAGCCTAATGCAAAGTTACTACCAGCATCCTCCCATCTTACCCCTCAACTCAGAAAACAGGCTCACAGGTGCCATTGTCCTGGGAAAACACAGATTTATTTCCCATGGAGGCTCTAGCAAAAGGAAGGATCTCTGTACTATTTATAAGAAAAAAAATAATACTGTTTTTCGAGAGCTGCAAACGTGTATTCTCATTTAATAGCTTAATTCCATTGAAACAAGTAACTTAAACTGCTTGGGAGAATTCCCCTTTATCCAGCACTGACTTATTCCAAAGCAATCCAGCCCCTTCTCTGATGGATGGGACTGTCATTTCCACTTGCCCATGCTGCTTTTCACTTTCTCTCTTCTTCAATAAGCAGGTTACTGTTCCCATGTATCAAAGAAAGAGATCCTAAGGGAAGGCAAAGCCAGAGATAAGAATTTTATAGCGGTTGGAGGCAACTTGTTAGTCATTGTTCCATCTCCAGGTTATTGTATACAATACAGTGGTTTTCTTGCTTCGCTTGTTTATGAGAGTTTTGATCCCTTGTTTATTTTCAAGTCCTGTTTTTTGCATTGTTCTTTTCCTTTCCACTCAGCAGCGCTTTTGTTTGCTGTTTGCCACGGTCCTGTGCTTATCTTGCTTTCTAAATTCTCCTCCCTCTCACTGAGTCACATCTTTCAAATGCCATCACCCTGCCCAGCCCTTTCCGTCTATTCTCCTCCAGCCTTGTCACCCTGATTGATGCTGGTTTGTGCCTGGGTTACCTGATCACACAGCAGCTCTGGGGAATCACATGCACTGGAGCAATCTGAGCTGAGTCAATAACTCCCCATTGTCCATTTTCCAAAAAACATTGAATATTCCACTTTCCATCACCTCACAGTCCCACATCCTCTTTGTCACTTACAACAAAGTTGGGACTCCATTTCTCTTTCCCAGGTTCTTGATCTTCAATAAAGAAATGCTGTTGTTGAGTACCAAAATAGTGCCCAAAAATTTTGAATTTAAAGGATGTGATATATGAAAGCTACCCTATGGAAAAGATTTGATTTTCTTGAACACTCTCACCTCATTGTAGCAGTGACTGTGTTCTTTGTCTGTGGATGTCTGTCCATGGAGATTGCTCTTTAAAGAGTCCTGTTCCACCTGTGCTGTCAAAATAATGCATATGTGACCATAGAAAAAAATCATCAGTCTGAGAAGTGGTGGAAGATGAGAGAGGACATTTACATGAAATGTCTGCCTTGCTGGGCATTTGTGTTAAGATTTAGGGAAATATGCTTCTGCTGCTTAAAAAAAAAAAGTGGGATTAATTTTTACTGTACAGAAGTAACTGCCAAGGATTGTGGATTAATATTCACAAGGAGCAGGAGGGGTGAAGAGCAAGGATGAGATCTCTAGCAGGTCTTTGAACATTCTGCAGGAAGAAACCACATGGAAAATGAAACCAGCTGCAACATTATTGATGAACTGGCATGGCTCACACAAAGCAGGTTCCAGAGGGTGAAGAAACCTCTCTCAGAACAACATATTGGCAACTCCAGTAATTCCCACAACCACCTCAGGTGTAATTACTATGCAAAGGTTAATTTGACAGTCCTTTCCATTAAATGATTGTCACACCCCGCGTGTGTTTGATTGTCTCTTTAAGACTTTGGCAAGTGTTTTGGCACACTTAGGTTCTACCCTGTTCTTGTAAGTGTTGCTTATTGCTATGGCAACGCTAATCAATCATCATGCTAAAAATAGGCCTTTCATTTTTCAAGAGGTTATGTGTAGGGAATTGCAAACGCAGGCTGTGCTTTCCATATGCTGCTTTCATTCCCTTCCTTCTAACATGGAAATACCCCTGCTCATGGCTGGTAATTGCTGGTACACACTCCTGTTACTGCACTAGGTGCTCTCTGGAGCCTTAAACCTCTCCTGGTTCTTCCAAAATTCAGGTGCCAAATACAGAAAGTTTCGGAAAACAACAAAAAAAAAGCCCTGAATATTCCCCTTACTTGTTTTTGCGTGTTACAGGCGTGCTGGGGTATAAGAATTTTTAAAGGCGTTTATAAGACATCTAAAAAAATCTGGAGGTGACAATACCTAAGATGCCTCCTTTGAGAGCTTTACACAAAGACACCTTATCACTGAAGACGCTGTGACTGAAGAATTTGAATTATTCTGCAGAACTTAAGTTTAATTTCAAGTTAAAGATTGAATTTGCCACTATTTCATTCCCAAGAGGAACCTTGCAAGCTGTAGTGGTAGTGAAACAGAGAGCTGGAAACAGCACCGTGTGCATTGCTGAGTGTGCTCGGATCAATCGCCTGCAGGTCAGTGCTGGAGGAACACGGGCCCCGGAGGAGGCAGAGCACAAAGGGAGTGGTGCTCAGAAGGAAACAAGAATCTGCTAAAAGGTTTATTACCTGCTATTCACTCCCTAGTTTGATTCCGACTGTTGCATAACAATTTTAATCCCCAGTTAAGTAAATATGTGGCCACTTGAGGGGAAAAAAACCCAACTTTTTGCATGATGAATAATAGTCTTTTGAATGATGCATAAACAGTTTTCTGGTTCTGCCAGAGCCCTCTGCCAATTAGTCAGAGTGCAGCCGATGAATCATGAGACACATTCTGTGAAATGTTCAAAAATTTGGACCCTGTTAAGTGTTCCTGTAAGGCAGCGAGACCCCCCACAGCTGCTGGAGCAGTGGTTGCCAGCCAGTTGAGTTTCTGAGAGCGATTTTTTGCGGTGGAGGACCTTTCTGGTGAATTTGAATTTCATCTGGGGTAAACCCATGTTACCATTTATAATCTCAAATTAGGTTGTTGCAGTTCTCTCCTTCCTATTAAACACACAGGGAGGCTGCCTGTGGGTGGCTTTACAGAAAGTGGCTCCCTAATGAGGTGGCTTAAGGTAAATGGCACCATTCTTCTATGTTGTTCTAAGGATCCTTGGGCTTTTCTTAATGTTTCTTTTTGAAATACAAGGTTAGAAGATCTCTTGTTTAAATTAGAGTTTAGATTCTGGGTCACAGGAATCAACAACTCTACTCAAGCAGTGACTTGTTGAGCTGCTCCAGGAGTCCCAGTGCAGCCTCACGTTCAGTACATGGAACTGTGACATTTCAGTGTCATGACCATGACCCATTGCTGGCAACCTCTGGACAGTGATTGAAAATAGCAGGCATTTCTTTAATACCAAGGTAAAAGGGAAATCTGGCATTTGGCTTTATTCATAATTCCCTCTGAAACTGAAGCTGTGCTTCAGATCAACAGCACGAAGGGGGATTGGCCTTCCATGGCACCAGAACCTTTTTTGAGGAATCTGTCTCACTTGTTTTTCCAACAAGGATTTATTCTAGATGTGCTTGTTGATAGTGAGTATCCTGTGATCAGAAGAAGACTGAACAATGACTTATTGGGTGATACCCATTGAAGGAAAAATGTATTTGCTGCAGTCTCCAAGGAGCTGCCTTCTCATTTTAATTGTTGTAGGACACCCGGCCTCCTAAATGCCCTCTTCCCTTACTCATCAGCCCCTCCCTTAGAAGAACTCTGTGAATGTTTTCAAGCCTGAACTTGGACCAGCAGCGTTGTGAGCCCTGAGCCATTCAGACATCCCCATTGTATAACCTGTATGTACAGCCCCTGAATTGCCATGGGGGATTAGTGATGATGCCTCATACAAGGAACTGGCAGTTAATGCAGGACAGCCTTGGTGACTAATAGCAAAGATGCTGAACTGGTGTCATTTAGAGCTGGTTAGACAGCTGCTCTATCTGCCTGGCTGAAAACTTGCTTTGAACAAAGAACTGTGAAATGATAAATAAAATATATTTGAAATATTTATTATGATGGGATTATGTTGCCTAGTATTACAAATTCTAGTCTTCCTAACTAAGATAAGCAATCCTCAGAAAAATACATTTATTCCCATGTAAATACGGAATATTAATCTTAACAGGAAAACATTGGTGTATTTCTTTTTTTTTTTATTGGAATTATTATCTAAAGATTTATCTGGATTTAGTATAAAGGAATTTTCACAGGGGCTCATAATCCATCTTAATTTCATTAATAGGAAATTATGCTAAAATTCATTTCTCACTGAAAATTAAGAAGAAGCCCTCACATATGAAAGCATTGCTATCTGTTTGGACAGGACCTGCATCTGGTGAAGTGTCCTTGGGTTTTTCTATGTGAGGGATAGACTGATCTATAATGAGGGATATTGAGTTGCTCTCAAGATCTTAGTGAATTGAATTTCTTGCAAGACGTTCAGGACATTCATACTCCTGGGCATAGTGAGCATGAAAACTATTGCATCTAATTATTCCAGACTTCCTATACTGATTTATTTATATCTTCATTATAATTTTCAGCTTTTAGATAGACTCTCTGGGTCCCTCCAGAATCATCCAACCTTTCAGGTTTACGTTCTGTGAACATTTACTCTTTTTCTTGAAGTAACCTGAAAAAAAAGAGAAAGGTGATGCCGAAAGGGATGTACTGAATGTGTCAGCTGAAGAAGCAAGCCTTATTTCTTGTGTTAAATATACTTTTCTTTTGTTGCAGTGTTCGTTTTTGCCTAAGTTCTCCATTCATATAGAGACAAAATATGAGGACAACAAAGGAAGCAATGACAGTGTAAGTATGACACCTTGTGCAGAAGTTGATTTAATCCTCTTTGTTAACCACAGTCTGTGTCCGGGGCCTGGAGGTGTCTCAGTTTGGGAAAAAGGCCCCATCAGACTTGTGCCTTTGCCCCTCCCTGGGTTTTGAGCAGCTGTAGAGGAGTTAACTCTGAAGTACCAGGAGATGAAAGATCTGTGTGCTCACCTTCCTTTCTGCCTCTTCTATTCTATTTGTTCCTTCTCTAAACACAACATAATTAACATATGTGAATTTAGTCGTGATGAACATTTATGGAAAGTAAATGAAAGATGACGGGGAGGGGGTGTTTGTGTGCTTGTATTCCACTTTCTGTGTTTCACATTATTATCTCTGAATAAAGGGGGTTGAATTCCAAGGAGGTGTCAGGAAGAGCAAACAGGAAACTAAACAATGGTCAGACATGAGAGATCTCGGTGAGCAGCTCAGGGAGAACAATGGCTGTGACTTGGGCAGTGCTTTTGGCAGTCACTTACGAGGAGTTAAAAATTTTCAGAGTTAGAGCTTAGAGATGAGAAGGACAATTAACTATATCGAATCTCTTTAGAGGAAGGGTGGGAATGAGTAACCAGCAGCTGCTGATCAGAGAGGCACAGGAGCAGAAGGCAGGAGGTCAGTCAAATTTTGTTGTGCAGATAGCAAAGCAGAGTCATACACCTTGCAAAAAAAAGAAAAAAAAAGAAAAATTACTTTCAATAAAGCTCACTATGTAAAGATTGAACCCTTGGGTTGATACACAAATATGTTTCTCTCTGTTTCATTTTGGTATGTGTTGGCTGCAGACTTATGGGAAGAAATTCCTTGTAGGCTTGAAATAAAGTTTAAATGTCTGGAAATTTTATCTGTAAACCAGAGACCCAATGATGGGGGTGTTTGAACTCATTCTTGAGAAGGAAAAAGGCAGTCAAGCAGATTTTAAGGGGTCTGAGCACAGCCTTCTAGTGTTTTGGGGTGTCCCTTCAGCAGCTTTGGTGAGAGGAAGGTGTTCTGTTCTCCAGGTGGGAGGTTCATTTCCCTCAGCCCCCTGGGGCTGCCTGTTCATGAGGCTGACAGCTGTTGCACTGCTTATGGCAGAATAATTACACATACAAGAACAAGGTGGAATTTGGAAGAATGCTTTTGGCATGCAGACACTTTCCCACTGGGAACATGACAGGGATCATCTATTAACCTCCAGATACCAACCACTCACAGTCACTGCTCCTCTCAGCCAGATCAGTGAGTGAGTTAAAAAGAACTGTATTACATTGCCAGCTAGATGAACATTGTGTAATTTATGTACTTTTTGATGTTCACTTCTGCTTTTTGGCAGCACTTTAATTCAGAGCAAGCCCACACCTTTGGTTTTGGGAGGGTGCAGACTAATTTTCTGGTGCTTTATAATGTCAGCAGTGAGCAGACATGATCTGGGCTGCTGTCTGACAGAGGAAGAACTGAAGCTATTTAAGCAGAGTGAATTCTTTCAGTGTGCCAGCTTGTGGCTAAAATACTGTGACTCAAGCCCTGAACAGTATCCAGCCAGGGAATTCAGATGAAAGTGGCACAGAGGTGGGATACTCCAGTGATGTAAATCAAAGAAACTCTATTCTGCTTGAATCCAGCTCTTCCAATGTCATTTTTACCGGAGTGCCAGTGGGGTAATATCATATTACCTTTCTATTGCAGCACCTGAGTCACAGACTAAGCCAGTGTTTGCCTAGATTAAGAGATTTCACTGACCCCTACTTGAACTGAGGAGGAGAAAGAGCAGCTGAATTGAGGGTTGCAGTCCAGCCCTAATTTCCCTGATTTTGTAATTCTGAGAGCTGTGCTGTTCCCTGGTGTGAACACAATAAACCAATAGAAGATTTACGTTTTTGTGCTCCCATGACCTTTATCTGGGACCACAGACATGACTGGTACAGCACTGAAATGCTGGACGGTTCCTAAATATGGAGAGGCTTTTGTTAATTCAAACACCTGGAACTAGGTGTTTACTCAATGGGCAGGCTTAAACTTCCCTTAAGAACTTGCAAAGTGCATTTTTCCTTTGTGTCAGACAAGTTTAGATTAAATGTCATTGTTTGTCTGGGTAGAAAACAGCAGGAAGCATAGCACCCATTTCTTAGATTTCCATAGATCCACTGTATTTTCCTTCACTGCAACTATCAGCCTTGTCTGATGAAGAAATAATTAATCCAAAAAATACTTCTGTAAATTTTGCAGTTGTAATGCAAAATAGACTGATTGAATATTAATGTTGCAGCAATGAGGGCAATAATACAAATCTGATTTTAAGTCAGCTATTTCTGATTATTTTTAGATCATGCAGATTTTTTGAAATCTTTGCACTCTGATCTATTCTTCATTTCCATACTGTCTGATAAAGCAGATATTGATTGTGAAAAGCAATACTTAGACATAAGGATTCTAAAACTAATTCCACTGATCCATGGAAGAAAGCAATATAAATGGTCTTGGGTTCCTGTCATTTGGCAGGCTGGGATGTTATTAGAGTTATTTTATTTAATATGTTGTGTTGTCTGGTATAATTCTAGCTAATTATTGTAATATATCTTGTTGTAAGTTTCCTACTGATTCTCCTTCCCATTTGACATGATTGAAGATAGGAATGATACTAGTGAAAGATGGTACCTGCTCTGGAACCTGATTTTTGTAGGTCTTAGACTTCATTATCATTATCATTATCATTTAAATGTGTTAAAGCATTCTTGTTCCAATCTGTTAAACTTTGCAGTTGATTTGCACAAATATAACCACTGACAGAAAGAACAATGGACAATAAATGTCTTTATTTAGGTAACCTTGTGTAATAGTGCAGAACCATAAATCTACTGAGCTGTGATTTCAGTGCTCAGAGCAGCTGATTTTGATGTATCCCTTGTAGATGTTCCATGGTAACTCTGTTCTTAGAAAAACAGAGGCAGTGTTGGATGAGCATGTGAGTACATCAAATATTGTCCCTGCTGCCTTGCAGCTCTACAGCTTCATTAATACTGTCAGAAACTGGACCAGTGAGTCAGGCCAGTCACTGTTTCCTCTTGTAGGTCTTTTAAATTAAAAGTCAACTTCTTAAAGAGAAATTTTGTTTTAATTTTACTTTTATTTGAAATTACAGAAAGGAATTTTAAAAAGTTAGAATATTTTGTGAGGGTGGCATCTGTAGAGTTCATTAAAATATTTCTTCCCTTTGTATGCTGAGCTTCTTGCATTGGTCAGGATGGCACTGGGCAGTGCTGGGCAGGGGCAAGTGCAGATACCTGCAGCCAGCAGCCTCAGGGGGCACAGAGCAGTGTCAAAGAGTACAGTAATCACAGCCTTCTCCCAAAGGAAAATTAGCCCTTTGGGAATTTGAATATAGATAGATAAAGTGTGTATTCTGAATATTAAAAACATAAGGGACATCCAAGAGAATTCTTACAGGTGTCTGCTGACTGAAGTGATAGAAATCTGGGTGGGAGTTGCTGCTTGTGTGTCAATAAATTGGGTGTGTGCTTTCCATGAGAAGACTTCCTCGAGCTCTTTTTTTTATTTGGACAGGTATTTTCTTTCAACCATCCATTGACTGCTCAGTATTTGTGTGACAAAGGACTAATTTAGTCGGGCCATTGTCTTGCTCTCACCTCTTTCCCATCTCTTTTTCTTACTATTTCAGTGTGCACTACAGACACACATTTTGGGTTTTTTTTCCTTTTAGTGGTGAATGCACCAACTGTGCATTACAATCAGCTGTGTTGATTACAGGGAGCCACCATATGGCTGCAGTGGCTGCTGTAATCAATGCCCAGCCATGTCACACATGCTGTCCCTGGTGTCACTCTGGTGCTGGGGAAAATGTCTGCAAAGCAGCTGAAGGTACAGGAAAGGCACAGTGGGGACAGACACTGCTCAAGCAAATCACTGAATCACAGAGACATTCAATTTTCCCATTTGTTGCACAAGGATCATTATGTTTGCTAGATTTCTGTTGGTTTGTTTTGTTTTGTTTTTTAGTCACAGAATTAATTGCTGCTGATATTTGGGCAGTGATTTTTTGCCATCTGATGATGTCTGGGGAAAGCAAAAAAATGTACAGCTTGTCAAATTATTCAAAGGTTGTCAATAATGAAAATTCACTCTATGTAAAACTTCCAGTGCCTTGCTCTTTGTAGCATAACATTTTTCTCTGGAAAACTCAGTGGCTGGATCTTGATTATGAAGGTAAAGTAAAATAAATTTTAGGTATGGCAGCTACCAAGAAAATCCATTTCTAGTTTGGTTGAGTTTAGGGTGATTTTTTCTCTATTTCTGTCTCCCATCTTAGTAATGTGGAACTAGGTTGTAACAAACTTGAATATAGCACATGGAAATTAAATGTAAATTCACTATTTAAGGCAACTGCCATGAAACACTGATTTCAGCTGAAAAGGATTCAGCTGTGCCCTGGTTTAGCCTCACTGCACCACAGGATCTCATTCTGGAAACTGTCAAAAGGATTGCTGGGCATGACTCAAAATATGGTAAAGTCAAAGCAAGGGACACTTTTAGGGTGATTTTATTTGCACCCGGACTTTTCCTATATGATGGTACTGAGTATCCCATAATTTACAATGAAAAAAATCATGATTTTGTGATGCTTTCCCCCCCCCTCTAAGAAGCCTGAAAAGATAAAGGCAAACAAGTGGAAAGGTCAGTCCGAAATTCCCCCCGAGGGAAGATCTCTCTTTCCTGAAGTGCAGATCCTATGTCCCAAGCACATATGGCTATCACAGAACATATGACAAGGCCCACACTGACAGAGTGTGAACAAGTGATATGGTTGTGCCTCTACTTTTTGATTTTTCTAAATGAATTACTGAAGTTAGTCAGTAAATCTGGCACTTGAACTAGATGTGACTTAAAAAAACCTAATCCCAGTAAATATTATAGATTGTCTATTGCGGTCTTGGAAGCACTTTGACATAATTACATAAAAATCCAGTTCTCTGTCCAGAAAATACAAATCTTAAGGAGATATTTTATAAGGGATGGAATAATAGGGGAGTCGTGACATGGAGATCAAAAGGAGCAGGGAGAATGGCTGCAGGTAAATACATAACTGTCTTTTCCTGCTCTGTGGCACCCAGGGATATTCCCAGCCAGTTCAGGGAGCCAAATTTTCTCTTCTCAAAGAGAGATTCCATCTTTTTTTCCATTTAAAAATTGCTCCAAATTATGCATGTCCAGATAAATAGTTTCATCCCATGAACAGGTGTGAAATCAGTCAATTCCTGTAATCTCTGCCCAAATAAATCTCAGAAGGAAATTAGGGAATTTGAAAGTAGCTGAGGTTGCAGCATGACTTACTGAAAATTTACACACTGAATAAATTCCATGGATTTACTTGTGAGTCAGAGTTTTCCTTCAGAAAAATGAGAGCTCCAGTGCAGCAGGTGACACAACCTGCTCAAGGTGTGCAGCATCACACCAGGGAGCAGCCAGGGGTTCTGGCCATGGCAATCTGCAGAGATGAGAATTTCAAGGTGGAAAGTATATTTTGTGCATTTTTCTAAAGGAAGAAAAGGATTATTCTTGCAGTTCTTACCACAATTAAAGCCCTGCCATGAAGGAGCTGTCTCTTTACAGCTTCTGACCACAAACTCCTCGTGTTTAGGCTGGGAAAAAAAAAAAAAAAACATTTTGTAGTAATGACAGAGCCAAACACCTTTCCAGCTGGTAATCCCTTGGATGGTTCCTTTGCTCTTGAAGAGGGGAAACAAACATCACAAAGAGAATCATGTATTATGAAACAAAGCCAAGGCAGAGGCACAGGTGTGACCCTCTGAGTCCTGGTGGTGCAGATGAGTGAGGAGTTTGCCAGTGTGGATGGAATCAATGCATTCAGCAGAAACTGGTTTTGTGCTGTTCCAGCCCAGGTTAGCTGTGGAGATTGGCCATAAAACATTACATTTTAGATTCACTACATCTGAATAAAATTGAAGCCAGCAACTTAGCCTGAAAATAGAAAAAAAGGGAAAAAATAGGAAAAAATGCTTGTAGAAAAGAGGATATTCAATTTCCTATCATATCCTAGTCTGACTTTCTGTTCTGACTGTGGCTACCAACAGAAGGGAAGTCACTAGCAAAGGATATGCCAGGACATGTCTTTGTAGGGCAGGAGAGAAACAAAGGAATGCAATTTAAGTTCACCAGGACTTGCATTTCTGCAGTATTCTGCATGAGCTTTCTTCAGGTTCTGGAATCACCTGCCTGAGGGGGTTTTGTGTACTTTTCTTTTGGTTTCTGATCGGTTGATTGGTCAGGTTTGACTTTTTTTGTTTGTTTGGTTGGTTGGTTGGTTGGTTGGTTTGGGGGCTTTTTGTTGCTGTTGTTTTGGGGGTTTTGTTTGGTTTTTTTGGTTTTTTACTTTTCACCAGAAGAAAAAATTGAGTGTCATAAAAAAGATCCAGTTGAAACCTTTCTCCCACTTTCTGTCATTCTGTGGAAATGAGTTTTCATTCCTCTCAGGAAGGAGATGCATATAAATGTTTGTTGTAAAAAAGCTGTCACGTTACTCCCCCGAAAATAAAACCAAAACCCGCAGCAAAAAGGCCACTTCAGTCTGAATGTTGCTCTTTGTTTTCCATTTGATTGTATTTTAATCTCAATTAATTACTTGGCTTCCAAATGTAAAGCCTGTCCAGTTCTTTACAATATAATATTTAATATTCTGTCTTTCTACATCATCTACTTAAGGATACAGATTGTTCTCACCATTCAGCTTCTGCACATTTGCAAATACAGTTGCACAGATTGGGAGCCTTATGCTTCTTTTTGTGGCCTTTAATCTTTTCCTTTAAAACTTGCTTTAGTCTCTTTGATCCCAACCACGATAAACCCATCCTCCCTACAGGCTTTCAGGCAATCCAAGATTCTGTGGCTAGGAGAGGCAATAAGAGAATTAGAGCTAAGAAAGAAATCACTCTTGTTCTCTAATGACTTCTTATTTTCGAGTGCTGATAGAATGAGAAGATTAAATCTCTAGCTGCAAATCTTGTGAGGACAATCTGAGAAAGGGAGAAGCATAAATGATTAGACAACAAGTTCTGCTGGCAAAGGGAAGTGAGAACGTCATTCAGCAAACTTCTGGAATAAAGGAAATGGTCAGAGACAGCCTTGGCAGCAAATAAGGCATCGTTGAAATGGTTGAAAAATTCCTCCTGGTTTTGACAGATTGGCAAAGGCATCTGTCATCCCCACTTCCATCACAGCATTTTAAAGAGAGAAATGGAATTTAGAACTATTTTCATATGAGGTGAAATATGTTGATCAAGCCTGGGACAGAGCAGGGCACATTTCTTTGGATAAGATACTGGGTAATAATCTCTATTTAGGTCCTTGCAAATGGGCAGAGATTTGCATGTGCTTGAATTTATGGGGATTGTACCTAAAGCATGGACGGATTCAAAGCCTCAGCTGACCTGGTAATGTCCATTTAAGTGCAATTTCCATTATTTTATAGAGATTATGGTGAAGTGCATCTTGTTCCAGAAATAGTTCAGCTGATTTCATCAGGGGCTGCTCTGTATTTCTGAATTTGTTTAGGAAAAAAGCAAGCGAGGAAGCATAGAAAAGGCGACCTATATTATATATATAAACACAGAAGTGATTTATGTCAATGTACCCAATTCAGAGAAGGAGCACTACAGGAGAAGGGCTTCCCAGCTCCAATTTGTTCAAATAATCAACATATTTTTTTTGCAAAACAATGATTGGAGAAGGATAATAATACAAATAAAACCAGGTTGGAGTTTCTCAATTCTTCTGCAGTTTCAGATGTGTGAACATATTACATCCAGCTCAGTGAGCATTCAGTGCTGCCTGTTTTATTCACTACCAAGACAAGTTAAAATTGTAGAGTCAAACTTCAGCTTTTCCTGTATTTGAAAGATGATTTCCTGAGCAATATTCTTCCTACCAGCTGGTTCCTGTGTTCACTGGAAGTCCATTGCTCTTTTTGAATGCTTTAAATGGGCAGCCCCAATGCTTTCAGAAATAATGAAGTAGCATTTCTGTTACTAAAGAATTGCTGGCATTTTGTATTTTTAACTGTTCCTCTAGAATTTAATTAAATCAAGAGAGCATTCACTGCGTTTATTAAAAAAAAAAAAAAAAATTCAAATGAAAACAAAAATACTTTTTCTTCCTGGAAATGTCAGCTATAGAACATTGTGCCCCAAAGGAAAAAGCACGTTGTGAGCTTATTACTGATCCTGACAGTGGATGCAAAACTTCCTTGAATTTCATGGCACTAATTCATGGTAGCCTTTTAGCTCAGCACTGTTTCCAAGTCTCAGAATCATGAGGGAAATGTACTGCAGATACAGTGTAAGTCACATGGGTCACTGAGATGCCTAAATAATTAAATTATGGACACAGGAACAGAAGGATACTGCACTGCTGCTGCAAATGACCTGGATTTTCAAAATATCTCCATTGTTTGCCTTGCAGAGAACAGGAGGCTTGCTGTTCCAAACAAGGTCCTGAGGGATTGAAATGTGTGTGCATGGATGGGCTGGGGAAGCTTTCATCTTCCACTGAGGCACTTGAAACAAAATTTTGATTCTCAGTGTAGCAACTCAGTCTGACTGTTCCCAGCAAACACCTGCACAGGGCTGTGGTCCTTAGAGGGTGAAAACACTCTGGGTCCAGTCAGGTTTTTATACAGCGTCAGACTCTATTAGTATAAAGATTGGGGAATACAGTAAAACCAATCAAAATTGTTGACTTTACCGTTTGTAATCAAAGTCTCCATTCCAAAAAAAAATCCAAGGAAGAACAGCAGTGGGAGCAGAAAGTGCTGAACACGATGTGAGCAGTAGGGTTGAGAACATGACCGTGTTCCTGCAAAAACTCAAGTATTTTACACAAAGCTGTTCAGGCACAAGCTTAAAATACATTCTGTTGCACAAGTCATTGAAACTGCTTGTAACAGTTATTCCAGGTGGATTTTGTGAGGGTGTTGTTCTGTTACAGCCTTGAATTTCTTTAACTCTTGCAGATTTTTGACAAAGAAGCTAAAGATCTGGAGCGAGAAGTCTGCTTTATTGATATTGCCAGTGATGAGATTCCCGAGCGCTATTACAAGGAATCAGAGGTAAGAGGCTGTGAACTGATGAGGAAGGGAAGGTAAGAGGCTTTAGAAGAGCCTGGATAGGAATCAAAACCATTTTATTTTTGTATAAAATTTTGCTGGTCAGTAATACTGCAAGAGCATTTGGGGGAAGAGGGGAAGCAGACCCAGCCTCTCTGTCCGGATTGCCCAACACCTTCTTTTGCAGATGAATCTTTGAAATGCTTTCCTACCCTTATCAGAACACTTCCTGTACCAGACCTTTGATATTCAGCTGAATTAGTCCAAACTAGTAAAGGCCTTTCCTTTGCATTATGAATCTCAGTGAAGAGTTTGCAGATCTGAGCACTTTTAAACATCCTTGCTGTCCTTACTTGCATCCCACCCTGATCAGTGAGCCCTGCAAAGTGCCCAAGCCCAGCAAAGGGCAGATGTGCTGCAGTGACAAGGGGCTGATGCACAATTGCTTGAAGGGAACAATGACACAAGACCAAGAGGGACTGAAGCACACTGCAGACTGCAGCAGATCTGCCAGAAAGCATCAATGGCAGCAGGCAGAGTCACTCTGAAAATTCCCTCGGAAATTGCTCCCATGTATATTTGATGGAGCACATCTCTGAAGTGCGTGCTTCTTCTAGGTCAATGCAATTCACTGTTTGAAATCAGCAGCCACCATGCAAATGAAGATGAGGTCTCAATGTTTTAATCTCATAGTTGATAAATGATGGTTCACAACAAGCAGCTAGAGAGGAATGATCAGATCTATGCTCGCATTTAATTTTGGAGATATGATTTGCCTCTGGAGCCAAGTCTATATTCATAGCTGGCAGTGAGTATGGCAGCTGTTGAACTATCTAAAACGAGACTACAAAATCATTTTTAGGATAGAAAGTGAGGACTTGCCAAGGAATATATTTCTATACTATAGGAAACATGATTTTGGGACTAAAAAAGTTGAGTACTTGTTATCTTCCATTTATATAGAACCTATTTTGGATGTTATATACAGGTCATAAACCAAAACTGAGCCTACAGTAGAATTGAAAGTAATTTTATTACTTTCTTTAGATAATGAAACCCATCTGTTTAGTACCAAAAATTATATAACACCTCATGAAACAGTTTATTGGTCCCATCATCTTATCTAAGCTCTATGGCTTCCCTCTCCATTTAGGAATGAGCTGCTAATGGAACGGGTCAGCATTTGTCTGTACTTTAAAGAAATCCTGTGAGATTTTTCATCTCAATCTCTGCACTTCAGAATTGTAAACACAAAGGTGTTTACACCAGTTTTGCAACTTTCCTGCTCGTTTTTAATAGCCAACTGTTAAGCATAATTTCTCTATGATTAATCTCCTGACAGAGGAAAAACAAGTTTATCCTAAAGGAAAAAAGCATTTCAGACTCTTTGTGTTGCTATTTCAAAGACAAATCTAAAGACCTGATTCCAAGCGAAATGGAATTTTGTATGGGTTTAAACAACAAAAATAGCCCAGCATCTGTTGTTTTTTTCTGTCCTGATGGATGATTTTTCTGTTGACATCCAAATTCTGTTTCAGAATTCATACAGAGCAGTAAGAACACCTTTAGTATTTAACTGTGCACATGCCACGATTGATAGTGAATTTGTAATAGTTGAAAATGGTGGATCTTCCAAAGTTTATAAACTATGGGGTTTTTAGGCTACCATATGATGATCATGAAGCTAAATTCCCACTTCTGATGAGGCCTCTTACATAACTCAGACTATAAAAATATTTTTAATGTTCATAAATTTCCATTTGTTTTCAATGAGAACAGTAATTCTATGCAAATGAGAAAGGGTTTGTGTTTCCCAAATAGCAGCTTCAGATAAACCCAGTTAGTGTAAGCTTTTGAAAGGTATTTTAGTTGCACTAATAACAACAATTTGGCTGCTTTTAGAGCATGTAATCTGAACTGATACTAAGTTTAAAGATTAAAAGTGAAGTGCAATGCTCAGGATTTAACAATTAGATCCCACAGGATAAATGTCCTGACTCCCACCCAGAAAGGCCAACGAGAACAATTTTAACTTCAGGCATGTCAGTAATCTCTTCATTTCAGTGGCTCTTTCACAGGCTTAAAATAAAGCAAATTCTTTATTAGGGTCAGCATGTTTGGCAGCTTCTAGAAATGAGCTTTAGTTTTCTTTACATCCTGACGAAAACGCATTCCTCTTCAATTAAAAATATACTTCAGATTTAACAGCAAATGTCTTTATTTAGCTGTAATGCTGCATACTATAGAGTGGCTTAAATAATTCAAAGCCTTCACACACTACTTCCTCTGCTTGCTCTGGGCTGGGACTTATGTACCTGATGGTAGAAGGACAAAGCCACTGTGTCCTCCTACCTATGATCTAAAAAGTAGTTTTACAGTTGTCCTGACATGAATCTTAAAAACAGATTCCATTTTCATTTCCATAATAGTGATTCACACATAAAAAGACAAAATATATAAATAATCTTTGTATGAATACTATTCCATTTGAGTTGAACAGCTCATTCTCACTGGTGCTGAGAGAGGAAATGTGTTCCACGAAAATGTTCTGGCTGAAGGGAAAATGATTGAATTCAACTTTGTGCATATTTGCTTTTCTCTCCTTCTAAATATTAACTAAAATTGAAAAGTGAAGAATCCAGTTGGCTGGAGGCTTAAGGAGAGCTGTTGCTTCATTGCAGGACACTTTAAGGGAGCCTCTACCAGTAATACTAAGAGATCTCTTGAACAGAATCATTCAGGTGGTTGGGATTTCCTTAAGGATGAAGGGCTTACCTGGCAGTGTGCACAAAGGACTGAAATCACCAGGTCATTAGTGAATCAGAAGAGAGCTTTGTGAGATATTACAAACACTTAGAGAGTCCAGTTCTATCACGGGGCTGAGCTGATTTCTTCCTTTGTGGAAGGCTGGAGGTGAAACTGCAGCAATTCAGGTGTCCCAAAGCAGATGACCTCCCTTAAACTTCATTACCATCTACAAACTCCATTGTGAAGTAGCCACATCTTAAATACAGGGGTTTTTTACAAGTGTGGTCTAATCCTTTAAGTTTTAAGAAGTTTAAATGTGAGATTCCCAAGGGAGAAAGGTTGATTCTAGATCCCAGCTAGCAAGTTTGCCTGCTTGTCTGTAAGATGTTTCCAAATCTGGATGTACATATTGCATTGAGTATAGAATTTTGTATTTCTGTACAGACGATGTACCAGCCAGGTAAGAGTAGTTGTACATTTTGTGAAGTAATTTCCTTATAACTTTAGCATTGATGAATATGTATCACCAGCTATATAGACAGATAAATTTGTCTGAAACATAGAAAAGAACAAAGCTGAGCTATGCTGAGGAGTGAGGGCCTCCAGTGAATCATTCATGAAATGAAACATTTACCGTAGCTGTGAGCCACTGAGCAAAATGTTCAGTGCAAACATATTCAAGTTCTCAGAATTAACAATGTTTCATTTCCTGTTTATAACAAAGCAACGGAGAGCTGGACAAATGGAATAAACTTTTCAGGCTGCTTCTGAAGAGATTCCATGCAGCTGCTGCAGTTTTCTTCTTCCATTGCTGGCTTTTCTCCTTTAGCACAGCTGCTCTGTGATAGGTCCACCTTACTCCTGTCCAAGTGTTTTCAGAGGAGCAGAACCTCTGTCACATTACTCAGTGATGGGAGCTGAAATAATCCAGCTGCCTCAGCCCCCCGTGAATGTGGGCACTGTGTCAGCACAGGAGTTCAGTGACGGATATGAAAAAGTATGAACATTTCCTTTTCTTTACCGTGTGAGTTTACATAAAGGCTGACTGGTTTATCATATTTTAACACCTCAGAACTGTCTCAATATTTACAGTTCTTAAGTATTTAGCTGGATCTTCCAGAAAATACCATTTAATGGAAATTTTTTTTTAAGTCCTTAAAAATTACTCCACATAAAGGTCTATGGTAGCATCTTTACATCAAAAAATCTTTCCTGAGCCCTGGCTATAAAAGCTGAAATCCAAAACCTAGCAACTACAGCTGATGCTGAAATGCCAGATGACAGGTATTAAACTCAGGATTGGTTCTGAAATTCAAGATCAAACAAAATGGTCTTCAGCATAAAGAGGGGGAAAATGATTGCACTTCAAAAGCACCATGATATTGCCATTGGAGCCTGAAAAAAAATTAATCCAGGCATTAAAAAGAAGGAAGGATCTGTTTCAGGGACATCTGGGCACTTCCAGGGAGAGAACAGGATGCGTGGCACAAGCTGGGTGCACTTTCACCTCTGGCAACATTTTCAGCCTGGGGACCTTTGCCCGTGCTGGAATGGCCACACAGGCAGCAAGGGGACACAGAAGGGCGACAAGGCTGCCAAGGTGTCCCGTGCAGGCTCCCAGCACACACAGGGAGGTGCTGCCAGCTCCAGGGTGGAGTGGCAGCTTCCAGTCAGACCTGGTACCATGGCAGAGCTGAGGGCAAGTGTGCCAGGGGCAGATTTGGAGGTTTTCTGCAAACAACAAATGCATTTCATTATTTAACTCCGAGTACAAAGTAACAGCTCAGAATTAATTGTGAAAAGGCTCTGCAACAGCCCAGCTTCCTGGAAAGGGCGTGACCATTCCTCATCTGATGCCCTGACGTCCGTGAGGAAAGTTAAGTAAATAAATGCTAAATGATAAATAATAGACTCCATCAATAACCACATTGACTCGTGCTCTAAGTTATAAACTCTGGGAGAGTGCTATGTTTGAATACATATCCCACATACAGAGGCTTTTATTTCATTGTAATTTTACATTTTATTCTCCACTAAGCCCAGCTCACGGGTTATGATGTTTCTGCTCTGTTGGCAGAAGTGCTATTTTTAAATCACTCTGCACCTGGCAATAATGTATTGCAAATACAGAGTAGGTTTTGCTCCTCTAGCAAAAGGATTTGCCAGATGGGCTTTCCTAATAAATTGTGTCTGATAAAAGGACAAGAAGGTTATTTAAACAAAAAGATTTTAGCTATGCCATTACATTTAAAACAGATTGAGGATTTTGCCAGTAGATAAATCAAGGGGAAAATAGTGAATAGACACCGTATTCTTTGGATGATGCCTTCTCTAGGAAGAAAGCCATGGGTGTCTAAAAGCAAAAATAAGGAACACACAAAATTAATTATCTAAATAATAACATGAAAGTGGGGTCAGAGCAAAGCTCAGCTTGCCCAGTTTCTAGTCACAGGAAGAAAAGCTTCAAGTATGTGTGCCACGAGTGCTGGGTACTAATATCATTTCTACTTCTTTTAATGGAAAATTATCAGCCCTGCTTCATTTTTCATTATAGAAGGACCTTATATGCTTAAATGCAGAAAGAATTTCAGTTTGTGAGTCTTAATCATGCAATTTGAACCCACGAGTTAGGCACATAAAATCATTCTTGTCCAAAGTCTCATTAATTTCAGTAGGCTTTGGATCAGGCATGGAAGAGCAGTCCTGGTCCCACCAAAGTCCCTCTGGAGTGGCCTGCTGCCCATGGCAATGGTCAATAGCAGAGGCCTAGGAAAAGTGTAAAAATATTGAGGTGAATGTGGAGATTCTTCCCCTAAAGGCTTCCTTGTGTGATCCATAGCACAAGCAGTTGCTGAGATAGAATTTGTGTCTTTCTAAAACACTCAAGATGTAGTTAAATGTGTAATTTTTAGCAGCTGGGTTAAAGCTCAGGGACATTAGTTTTCCTTACAACAGCTCAACTCTGTCAAACATTTATGCCCTTGGAGTTGATGGCCCAGAAATCAAATTCTCGGGTTGACTTTGCCCAATGTCACAGTGTGCCTTACACCCCCTGCTTGGCTCTCGTGCAGCCTTTGAGTCTCAGCTCAAAGTCAAAGTCTTTAACGCCTTGATCTTTCATCCAGCAGGCTGGGAATCTGTTCCACTCAGGTCTGGCTTCCATTCATCCCTCTGCAGTGTTATAGTATCAATATGTTAATGTTTCCAGAGAGGCAGGAATTTCCCTAAGAGCTGTTTGATGTGAGTTGCCCGAACGCTCCATCATCGGCTGGCTCTTCCCATGGAGCTCTCCAGCCAATTTGTGACTAATCCTCCTGTCCTTCAAGAAAAAAGGACAGGATTAAGGGATGCAGAGGTGCCGTCTCTGGGTGCTGTTAAGGGAATTTGCACCTGGGAGTGGTCATGGATCAGCTGCATTGCAGTTGGGTGATTTGTGGGCTGCCAAGTTCACAGTGATTCCCACTCTGTCCCCCCTTGTCTGCCGAGTTAAACTCACCAAACCAAACCAGACCCAATCCATAAAACTTGGAGCCAAGCAGTGATGCAGGGCAGTTATTCATTATTTAATTTTTAGTTAGAATTTCTTGATATTTGATACCGATTCAAATTGATTACATTAAATCCCTTTGGACTGTACTGAAGTTATTCCATTGTAGATCTGGTTTTCTCTGAAGGATTGTAAAGTAAAACACTCAGAATTATTGAAGTATGTATCTGAAATGCTGAATCGAGGCAATGGCTCCATCACACCAGCACTCTGTGTTGTAAGAAATAGCAGACCCTGACTTGTAGGGAACTATTTTCCTTTTTAGAGATTCTTATTTCACACTGGAATATTTTGTAGACATATTTGAAATCATATTTTCTGTAATTATTTCTTTTTTTAAGAAACCTCCAACTAGAATGTTACATCTTTCTGAATAGTATGCCTTCTTCCCTTTTTTGATTGCTTCAGGCAATGATCAATTATTAAACCACTCTTTCAACCAGAAAATGTGTAGATCCATCTGTGGTTGAGCTTTGTTGGGTGAGAAGATTGGCAGCAGCCTGTGACCATGAGTTGTGCTGTATAGGGGAGTGTTGCTCTGATAAATGATGATGCTGAACTTTTTTATGGTGATTTAACATTGAAACCTTATTACACTGTGAGCTCAAAGTCTCCCCTCTGCAAAGCTTGTGTCAGCAATAAAAGCAGTGACTTTCACAGGGAGGAAATACTATCACCTCATTAGAGCTTTGTAGAGAAGCTTTAATGGCAGAAATTCAGTTTAGGATAAAACCAGAAGCCAAGAGATACCTAAACATGAATGCTGGGTGATACATAAGCTCACACTGAATGAAGCAAAATGAAGATCAGAGTAGTCATCAACTTTTTTGTGTTTTTTTTCTCCTGATTGTCATCCATTTAATGCATAATTTAAGTACTATTTAAGTATGTTTAACTGCTTTTATAACAAAGGATGTCCCCAGACCTCAGCACTGGGGAAAGAACATAGCTGAGCACTGCTGGTTATTCTTCAGGACAGATTTTAGAGGCTCCACTTTGAATTTTCTGAAGTGACATAATTTTCAAGTTCTGACAATCAGTGCTTAACCATAAATTATTTCTATTTACAAGATATAATTAGCGGGATTGGACATAAAGGGAATTAGAATTATACCAATATGGAAAATAACACTTTCATAGATAAAATTGTATCTTGTACAGATGAAAGTAAACTTTAAAAAGATGAACTAATGCCTTTAATGGTTTTATGAAATTAAGCTGTAATTTCAGTGGTGTAGTTTATTTGATTTCCCAGTTCCTGGGTGAGAAATAGAGTTGGAATTATTCAGTGTTTGCTCATAACTCTGTTATAACTAGAGCTGGATAAACTGCAGGAGTTTCCTACTCAGCTTAGGATGAGCAATCTCACTTAAAACTGAAAATGGCATTGTCAGGGTCAGTGTTGAAGTGTCAGAGTTCCAACTGGATACAATTCCACAATTCCACGAGACAGCTGTGGGTGGAAAGTACAAGCAGTTCACACCAAAGGGCAGTGGAAAAGCAGCCTCTGAAGAAGCCACTTTTTTTTTTTTTTCCCAAAGGCCATAAATAACCCTTGGAGTGCACTGCACTGTAATGACTTGCAATAACAAATTTTCTTATAGCAGAACGTCCTGGATGATATGATTGTCAATGCATCTCCAAGAATATGCTGCCATTGATTCACTGCCAGGCTTGGGTTTTAGGATATCCTAGTGCATTTTAAAAGTCCATTTCCTATTACTTTTCCATATTGTTTATTAGCATGTTTTTTGTCTTATCAAAACTTTTGCTTTAGCAAACTGATAAACACAACTTCCCCTCCTGCATTTCCTTGTATGTTTTCTTTGTTTTGCAGGATCCCAAATACTTCAAGTCACAGAAAACTGGGAGAGGCCAATTGAAAGAAGGCTGGAGAGAGACCCATCAGCCAATTATGTGTTCCTACAAACTTGTGACTGTGAAATTTGAAGTCTGGGGACTTCAGACCAGAGTAGAGCAATTTGTCCACAAGGTCAGTGAAACAGGAGCTGTTTCTTCTCCTTCACATGAGCAGAACTCGAGCACTCACAGGAATGTGGCTACGGCTGTGGAGGAGCCTGGGAGCTCGGCCCAGTCTGCTCAGAGCTCTCCCAAGGTCTGAAAGAGCTGGAGCAGAGCCCAGCACTTCACTCTGGGTACAAACCTGACATAGCCTGGAGCTGCTCAGGCCTAAGGTTGAGAAAAACTATCAATAACATTTTCAGTGCTGTGACCAATATATGAGCTGAAGTATTTCTGGCACACAGGGGTCCCATACACGTTGCAGTGAGGTGAAGAATTCCTTAGTTACAGATAGTGGGAAAGTTTTCAGTCTACTGAATCAGTCTACTAAAATCAGTCTACTCAAAAATCAATTAGTGAATAGTGTGACTACGAGGTGATAAAAATTTTCATAGTATTGACCTTCTACATATTTGGAAAACTAAGAAGGGAAAAGAAGAGATCCAGAATGTCTAATTGGCCAAAGACTAGTGGAATCTGTACATATTCCCAAATGGATTCCCATGCTTGTCAAAGCCATGATTCAGTGTTGGCAACAGATCCAGTTCCAGTGGGAAGCTGAACTAGGAGCCCTTCAGAGCCAGCATGGCCATTAAACACAAAAGTGTCTGAGGGTTTCTCACTTTCAATCCTGTTGAAAGAAACAGATGAGATGTTTTGTTGCTGCTGAGGCCTTTAACCCTTTCCTTGTTTGCAGGTGGTCAGAGACATCCTCCTGATCGGTCACCGGCAGGCGTTTGCCTGGGTGGATGAGTGGTATGGTGAGTGTCCTCCCGAGCCAGGCCCTTCCAAAGGGCTGATGCAGAGCCTGAGACAATTAACAGCAGGTTTCCATTTGCTTTCATGGATCACCAGGTCCTAGTGTGAGCTGTTCATGGAGGAGATGGAACCATGTTAAAGATTATCTCCTTCCACCCCCTTCCATGGGCAGGGACACCTTCCACTAGACCAGGTTGCCCAAAGCCCCATCCAGCCTGGCCTTGGACACTTCCAGGGATGCTGGATTTGGGCAGCAGGCAGTGTCCAGGGGTGCCTTTCCATCCCAGCATGCCAGTGGACCTGCACCACTGCTCTCACCTGCACTGCAGGCAGGAGTATCTGTATGGAGAACCTCACACAGCTTTGAATAAAGCTGCTTCTTAAGGCTACCTTAACTCACAGCCATTTCCATACTGCAGACTCCTAAGGCCTCTGATCCAAAACATTTCCAGCTTTTTAGGAAAGTTTTAAGCTATTGGTATGGATTGCAAGAAAGAAAAAATTGAGCTTTTCTGAAAAATATGTACATAAGCATAAATTCTACAGGGTCTGATTCAGCAGCAGCTGCATGCAAGAAGTGTTGGGAATCCATGAGCCAGCTGTGGGATATGGGCACTTCCAGTAGGACAAAGTAATCTGAATATCAAACCAGCCAATCCCATTGTCTAAAATGAGTTCACTGGGTCTGTACCTTTTACTTATATTTTCTGTAAGACATATCCATAATCACAGCTACTCTTGAAACACGTTCTGAGACAGGCCTGTAACATATCATGGCAATTTGGAAATATATTTAGAATGTTTATTTAGACCCTCCCCAGACTTCAGGAAATTTGGGCATTTCATGGGTGAGGGACACCCCTCTCATCAGAGCCCAGAACCAATGTGCACTGCTCAGGAGCAGTCACTGCTGCAAACACATCTCAGAGGTGTCACAGCCCTGCACTGGAATTTAACCATGAACTCGGTGGGCTCATTATTTGGAAATAGAGAAAAAATTGCTTTTGAAATCACAGTGTTCTTATAAATTTAATACTGCATGAAAATCTTGTGCTGTAATGGTCATAAAAATACTGAAACTGCTAAAAATATCTTTTTCTATTGGGATAGCTGTAAACTACTAAGATAACTTTATATCCAGTGAGAGAGCTCTTCTTCAGAGCTAATTCTTTAAATTTTAGATTTGTTTCTTTTTTTACCTGAAACAGAGCAATCCCTGTACCACGTCAGGGAAACTGGTAACTTTAAATAAAACAGCCTGACTTCATGTAAAAATTGAGCCCATAAATTTGCTCCCAGTCTACCCAAAATATCTATACAGTGAGAGATGGAGAATGTTACTGAGGAGCAAAATGTCAGCTGGACTTCAGCAGTTACTGATAATGATGACAAATGAATAGCCATGAAGTTAAACACACCAAACAGGTTTAGCTCAAAAACATTTCACTATAGATCTTCCCCTCCTAAGTCTGAAATCTCCCTGTCAAAATGAAATATTGTGATACACTATTATCTCGTGTATTTTTCCTGTCAGAGTGAGCCTTTTTACTAACTTATATAGTGGACTTTTAAGAGCTTAATTATCAGCCTAAGTACAAAACCTAAAAAATCTGGGATTAAGGAAATATAGTAATCTAGCATCAAAAATATAATTTTTAAATATCTATTAACATCTTTTAAAATGAAAGTTTGGGAAAGACCTGGAAATGATGGTAGTCAGCTAAACTGAATCAAATACTCAATAATAAACAATGTGTTTATGTTAATGACTGGTTCCTTTTACTGACCCTGTAAGTATGAATGTGTTTTATAATTTAATTTACTAAACTGTATTTAGCTTTATCATTAAGAAATTCTATTTTCTCAGTGTTACTTACTAATAAAGAGCATGTTCTCTGCTTGGCAAAGTGCATCCCAGCATGTTACTGACACGGCTTCTGAGCTTGTTTCTCATTCCAAATAACAGTAAAAGACTGAAAGAGTACAAGTTAGGGGCATTCCATGTTTCCTTTTGATCAAAATTTGAGACTGCATTTCTTTTTTCTGATAAATTATGGCATCGTGCTGCCACTACAACAGCTGAAGTTTTATCTTGCCTTAAAAGCTGCCTCGTAAAATGCAGCAGGAGCCTCACAGCACAGAACAAGGAGTGGTGTGATACAAGAATTCCCAAATCCCAGATCATAAACTCGAGGAAAATGGGAGCCTCAAGAGCAGATCACAGTGCATGACCAAAAGGGCACCCATTTGCAAGCAGACTGTGCTAATAAAATGCTCTTTAAGTGTTTTAAATAAAAAGTTGATGGCTGTTTTTACGAGGCTCTGAAGTTCCCAAAGCATCATAAAGAACAGACCAAACTCTGACACTGCTCCTGTTGTGACTCCTCACTCCCCAGTGGATTTATGGGAAGCATGGGAATACTCACAAGAGTCACAGGTCAATTACTGGATTCTTTATGTTTTTGCTGGAGTTGTGGTTGGTGACAAATGCTGTTAAAGGTGTTGAGCATTGCCTGGTGCTCCACAGCACCTGACAGGCTGTGCTGGGTGTCCCCAGCCAGGCTGGGCAGTGCTCAGTGATCCTGCAGGTGACATCAGCCTCATCTCTGGGATATTTCTAGTTTTCATCATTCATTCAATTGCTTGAGGCTACACAACCATTAACATAGTCACTATTAATTCACTTCCCAGTTTAAGTGTTAGTTGCTGGGATCTAAACTGGTGTGGGCTCTAAAACTAAGAGTTTTGTTGGTTATGAGATATACAATGCAAAGTTAACAAAAAACTCTTTTTGCAAGTCCTGAAAAGGTAAGTAAATATTTATAATATTTCTGTATCTATCCTTTACTCCAAAGGATCTTCTAAAATCTCTTTAGAAGATCTTGGCCTTTGCCAAGGCCTGCACTTCAGTACTTCCTGCCTACCTTACATTACACAGACACTCCTAAACAATTTCCACTCCTTCCTGTTCTCTGACTCCCTTTGACTTAACCTTGCACCTTCCTTGGCTGACACAACTACCTTTATGAGGCAATTTTCATAAAGCTAGTTGCTCCTTGCTTTTTAAAAAATCTTTTGTTGGCTTCTGCTGAAAGACTTTGTGTTCCTAGAACCTTCTCCTTAGAAAAAAAAAATGAAGTTTGCACTGAATCAATGGAAAAATGCCAACAATTTTGAACTTTTTACAGATATGACTATGGATGATGTCCGAGAGTACGAGAAAAATATGCATGAAAAAACCAACATTAAAGTTTGCAACCAACATTCATCTACTGTGGATGAAATAGAGAGCCATGCCAAAGCAAGAGTATGTCAAATTTTAAAACATATTGCCCATCCTCAGCCAATACACCTGCACAGATCAGAAAAGAGCAACCAATTGCTGATCAGTCAGTGAAATATTGGGAAGGTTTTGCTTCAATAAGAACAGAATATTTCTCCATGAAGTGCAATCCTGCCTTTGGTTTGCACTGTAATCCTGCCAGTTATGTAAGGGAGGGTGGGGTTGGGCTCATAGACAACTCCCTGACTTCCAGGAAAACACAATGCTCAAATTTCAGTTGGATTCATAAAGAGGAAGTGAAAGAGGACTTTCCCTTTCTATTCTTTGAATAGTTAAAAAATGCAGGAGTTCACAGTGGTCTAGTCAAAAAGCCAAGAACATGGGGAGTGGAAAACTTCTATGGGACTCACAAAATTCTTTGTTTCACCAGGAAAAAAAAATCTAATGAGTTATTCACTCTTTTCAAGGTAACTTTAATGTTACCTTCATTGACCAGGTACTGACAAGGTGGGAAGTATTTTCAGAAGTATGTTACAGTGGTTTGTGGGAAAGGGCAGGTTTCTGTGTAGGTTCTCTGGTTCAAAGTCTGGAGATTTCATAAAGTATTTAATTTGGGCCCCACAAGTAGAGGCCTAAAATTAGATTGATACTCTCTGCAAATAGAGAAGATGCAGTGGCCTTTGCTCCTGAAATGTCATTATTCCTAATTTCTGCTAATGATGCTGTGGAACTCAGTGCTGGGTTTAGTCATGTAATCAGTGTGGGGCAAGGCTTGAAGGGCTCCAAGTCTCTCCTTGGCTCTTGCTCAGTGCCAGCTGTCCCCAGCCTGAGGAGATGTTGTCTGTGTAGTCCCCAGGAAGGTAATTCTTGTGTTCATGACACAGCAGCTTCACTGACATCAAAGTTATTCCTTGGCAGAGAATTAGTTCAGATTTTGGCTCCATACTTCAGGATCTGGTTCTGAATGAAGCCTGCCACCTGTAGTTTCCATGTGGAAAAATTGACATTGAGGTCAGAACAGAAGTTGTTATTAATGGAAAAAAAAAAGTGAATCTGAGTCCTCCTAGCTCAATGTAAGGACTGCTTTACTTGAGTGTGTATCACAGCAGAAGGAAATTAAAGCAAATATAAGCTAAAAAGTAAAAATTAATTGAAGAGTTTCATGTCTGAATTAAAAATGAAGAGTCTTGGAGGCTCTACTTAGCAAGACTTCAGAGGACAGTGCACTGAGAAACCTTACTTCATTTATCCAAAACAGCTTTTGGTTCATGTCCTACAGAATTCCTCAATCAAAATCCCTGGGATTTCAGGGGGATCTGGGACACTTCGAGTGCAGAAATGCTCACCCACTGTTACAGGGTGTGAAACGAAATGTAAACCAGCAAAACAGGTTCAAACCTCTCTCCAACACGAGTAGGTACAGTTCCCCTGGGACCATCTGTTCATTGCCAGCACTTCTGTCAGATCTGAACCCGGCGTTTCTCACTCCTCGTGAGTGCCAGCGTGGGCTGGAAGGGTCCCTGCAATGTGGAGCAGGGGGGAGCAAAGGCAGCCGGCACCATGCACGCTTTTGTTTATTTAATGCCATGCTGGAACACAACAGAAAGCTGCTTCGACAGCCAAGGTTGCACATGTCTGCAGCTGGGTAGGGGTAAAAAGCATCAGAGCCTGGAAGGACAGGATTTGGTCACATATTTGATAATCCCCACCGCCAGTCCTGTGCCTCACACACCCGAATGTATGAGACATCTTAATTGATTAAAAGACTACTGGTTTTATTTCTAGGTTTTTGAGCTTTCGTAGCTCAAAGAATCTATAAATGGTCTAATGAAATTCTTCAAATTGATGAATTTAACTTGACATTCAGCAAAAATCTTAACATTGCCTTCAGTTGGCTCGGTGGGCGTCTTGCAGGCACTGCAGACATGGAGCAGCAGGTTCCAGAAGAGCCTCGCTGATTTTCTGCTCAACTTCCCAGTTTGTAGCAGATGTCATTCATTCCCTGGGGATTTACCGGAGGTTTTGCACGGCTCGGCTCCGGCAGAGCCCGTCCAGGCTGGGATCGCGCTGCCCTCTTGTGGGCTCGGCAGCACCGGGACATCCCCGGTACCCTGGGACACCTCCGGTATCTCGGGACACCTCCGGTACCATGGGACACCTCCGGTACCCCGGAACACCCCCGGTACCCTGGGACACCTCCGGTACCCCGGGACACCCCCGGTACCCTGGGACACCTCCGGTACCCCGGGACACCTCCTGGGCACCCGACTTCCCATTCCCGAGTGCTTTAGTCCCTCATCTCATTTGCCTACGTTTCGCGAGGAATTGAGCAGTGGATTTGTCACTTGCCCAGAGGGGTTTAAGTGCAGTTTCTGGATGGAAAGTTGGGAAGCACGGCTTTGAATGTTGTGAGAGGGAATTCTTTAGGCTTTATGAGTGGGAAAGCAAAACAGGCTCGGTCCTGTGCATGAAGCTGCAGCTACAAGTCAATGGAAGGAGAGAGAATTTTTCATCTCTTGATAATTACAGCAGATGAACAAACCATGACAAACTTTTGCCCACTTGGGCTCATAATGGAAATGAAAAATTTAAAATCCATTTCAGTTGTATTTTGTTTGAAGTTCTGAAAAATCCTACTGCTGACTGTATCCAAATGTACTCTTTATTTCCCTGTGGAATAGCTGGATTTTCCCAGCAATTACAGAGGCAGCAATCTTTATTCAGCTCAAACCCAGGTAGAAGAAGCATTAGTACGTGATTAATGTACTTAAAAGTTTGTTTCCTTTACATTGTGCTCATTGTGCTCCAGTCAGCGCCTTACAATGGGGAGGCATTCATGTGGAGAATCACTTAATGAGATGCATGATAAGCAATCATTCCCTGATTTAGGATTTGGATGGAAGTAGTTTAACTGAGTTAATGAAATGATTATTTGAAATTATTCTAACATGCCTTTGTCTTTCATTCCTTCTCGTTGAAGACATGACAATGGATGAAGTCCGAGAGTTTGAAAGAGCCACTCAGGAAGCTACCAACAAGAAGATTGGGATTTTCCCACCGGCAATATCTATCTCTAACACTTCCATGCCTTCCTCCACCCGCAGTGCTCCATCTAGTGCTCCATCAACTCCTCTCTCCACAGATGCTCCTGATTTCCTAACAGTTCCCAAAGATCGGCCTCGGAAAAAGTCTGCTCCAGAAACTCTTACTCTTCCAGATCCATCGAAAAAAAACTTTTAAATTAACCCTGCATGTTTCCTCCTGATAAGCCATGTCTGCTACAGCAAGAGTGACATAACTCAATTGCTACAAAGGTCGTGGTGGTTTCTTGGTTGTTTTTTTTTTGTTTGTTTGTTTGTTTCAAATAATCTTTCCGGTGTGGAAAGATGACTCCTTTCCTCAGACCTGATCCTTAAAACCTTCTGAAAAGTGCATGCAAGAGAAAGTAGTTTATATATTCCTAAAGTAGTGTTTCAAGCCATATGGTGCATCTTACTGACATCAATGGAACAGTCTGAGGGGATGCTATAAACGAAAATCAATCTTTCTGTAGCAGTATTCTGCCTGCAAACCCTCATCTAGGTCACAGCATTTATAATTAGGAGTAGGTATTAAGTAAATCTGCCAAGGACTTCTGAGGCAAATTAGTGCCAACTAGAATGCAGGGTTAACAGAAAAAAAAACCCCTCCCATTTTCTTATTTTATAACCAATTTTAAAATCTTTCCCACTCTCAGGCTTCTCCTGTGTGTTCATAAACCTTTGATCTGTAACTCATTATACTTGAACACCAACAGATCCACATTTTGCTTAATATGACTCAGGATTTGGGGCCTAAAACACAAAACATAAACATTTTCAAACCTAAAATATCACTGTATCAAAGCCCCAGTTGTAATTAATTATACGACTTTGAGGCCATTGAACTATTTCTACCTTGCACAGAATTTGTAAAAGGAACCACCCATTTCTTGTAGATAATGTATTTTACTAGCTGTCCCCTGTCCTTTTGTGAGCTCAGAGTGTTGGTGTTTATCAGTGGTGTTCTGTGACATTGAAAAAAGCAGCTGAATTGTGCCAGTTGAGAAACAAAAGCAATGAATTCTGTTTTTTTCTCGCTGGAAGAAGAGTGGTAGTCAGGCTGGGAGACCTTGAATGTAAAAGAAAGAAAACAGGAGACTCCTTTTCGCTAAACAGAACAATCAGACAGAGAGCTGGGTCCAGGCACTGCCTCGTTTGGAGAAGGGGGACAAAATCAGACACTTTAAAAAGCAAACGAATCGTGGGTGATGTTGAACCAGAAGTGCTCTTCCTGATCTGTGTGTGAAATCACTCTTCAATCTCAGGAATTCAATTGTAGACAAGGATGTTTCCCAGAGGGAAGTGTAGATGGTCGAAGAAGGAGAAAAATGAATGGCAGGAGTGGTCTCTTCCTTCCTTCCTCCCTCTTCAAAGCATGACTGGGTGAGAAGCTTTCCCTGCTGTCCCCTTCGGGGCACTGTGCTCTGTTCCACTGCTGCAGCTCCTGTCTTTTGGTGACATCACTGAGCCACCGCTCAGTCCCCAGGGAATGACAGCTCCTGCCTGAATCATGATCCCAGGGGTGATACTTTGTGCCACCACTGACGGTTCATGGATTGAGAAAAAAAGAGACTTCTCCAAAGCTGAGCTGTCACTGAACACTGAACACTGAACACTGAACACTGAACACTCAGTTTGGGGGTGCCCAGCCCTGGGGCACAGTGGCTGAAGTGCAGCTGCAGCACAAGTTTTGTGGAATGTGTGGCATTTAGGGGGAAGTTTTAGGAGCAGAAGTAATTCCACTGCCAACCTGCACTGAAACAAGTGTTTGTTTGTCTGATAGGAAAAAATCCTGCAGCCAGCAAAATCCAGAAGCTCTCTGTAGGTTTGCTGTGGTCTGACTTTCTGCATTCTCCCATGTCCTGTCCATGCTTGGCTTTGCTTTTCTTCCCAGAGCTGGTAATTCCAAGTCATTGGTGATGGGTGATGCTGTTTTGTTTAAAAAGAAGCTGCTGTAATACTGAAAACAAAACTTTCCTACATTGGTTTATGATTTCAGCTTAACGAGGGTGCACATTGTGGAATCATAGGATCATGTATAATCTTTTTATTGCTATTATTGGTTAGGTATCAAGATTGTAACATTGGCATCAAAGGGAAACCTTTGAAAACATAACACATTGTTTGGTTGTTTTCTCATTGCCTGACTTTGGCCCATACAGAAATAGTTCAGGTCTGCTCCACCTGAAAGTCTATTTCAATGGATTTTTAATTTGTCCAAGACAAATTTGCTCAGTTCTATTCAGTGTCTGGTGCTCACACGTGACTGCTTCTATTCACATTTTGGGATCTGGGTTTGACACAGATTATTAGATCACAGCAGTCCCACATTTACTCATGTTTAACTGATTGATTTCCAATACATTGATCACGATATTAAGTAGGTTTGGGGATAAGTCATTTGTGAAGACCATTAACCTACCCGAACAGGACAGAGCAGACACAGATCCTGGCATGTCAGAGTGACAGGACACTCCCTGTTGTGCCCAGCTTTAGTCAGGCTCAGGAAGAGCCACTCTGCCTCATGCTGCTGCCCAGCCAAGGCCAATTAAAAGATCTGTCATGTGTCCCTCCTTTGGATAAGAATATCCCAGGTTTTCTCAAATTGTGGAAGGACCCAGCACTGAGTTCTCCTTTGCTTTCCCCAGCAGTCATCACCCATCTGGTCAATATGATCTTTAAATGCCTTTTTCTCTTTGGTTGGGTGCTATTTAGGGTAAGATAGCTTTTTCTAGAATATTCCCAGCAGGCAAACATGAAATGAAATGAGAAGGAAGGTCTGAGTACTTCAGTGTAACAGCTTGAGGAGAAGGGTTTGTTTCCAGTACTGATTTTTCCCTTTCTGTTGTGTTTTCAGACACATTTATTAGGATTAAAATAAAGAGTTTTGCAGGTGTTCCTCACTTCGTTTGCAAAAATAAACTTTGCTGTGATTATTTACTGAGTACAGCCTCAGAGCATGGTGAACACAGCCGTGTTCCTCTCCTCTGCCACAGTGACAAGAATTCTGTGATTCAGCTCTGCTAGGACTTGGCAAGGAATTGTTTATCAAGGAGAATACAGTTCAGAGCAAAAACTGTGATGAGTTTGTTCAGGTTTCTATGAAAACCTCCGGGCTTTGCTTGTACTTTTGTGTATTTTGGATAGAACAATCATTATAAAACAACTGACAATTCAGTGCAGCTTCAAAAGGGTTGATCTCCTAAAAAATCAAAAAGGGAGGGACCCACAAAAGTTGTGAGGAGCAGCACATTCCTGAAACGTACTCAGTGGGATTTATTATGAATGTAATGGTTAATTTTGTAAAGGATTGGATAAATCCTATGGAAAGAAACTATTTGACCTTGTTCTTTGGCTTTTTTGATTATTCTGGAAGGTGATTTTGTGACATCTAGTAGCCAATTTGCATTAATTGCTGCTGTAGAGACTTTGAAACTGAAATATTTGTTCCTTGAATTTCAGTTTGTAACAAGACCGCTATACTTTGCTAAAATTGCTTTGAAGCTTGCTGCACTATAACTTCAAAACAATGTGTTATCCTTTGAAATAAGCCAAATGTATATGCTTTTTATGAATTAGTGAGTGCAGTAAGAGAGAATTCAAGATCTTGTCAATAGGAGATTTTCTGTTGCCATTGTTTGGACTTGGTTTTCTATGTGTAAGTTAAGATTGCTAAATGAGTCTAAAAATGTTTTGCTTTAAATGAACAGCATGGTCATTGAATTATGATCTCCTGTAGTTTTGTGATGTCACTAAAACAGGTTTTATTGGTTTTTTTCATTTCTGTGATAATTCTAGGTGATTCTGTTACGTCCAGTAATTAATTTCTTTTATTTAGAGCACTGATGGCAACATCAGGCAATGCATCATCACCATCAAAGAAGGACCAAGTCTTGGTTTGCTCTGCACGTCAATAGTGTAAGGCTAAGCAGGAGAACTTGACTGTCATTTTTCTCGTATCACTTAGTTTCTGTTTTTTTCCAAGTTATTTATTATTTTTAATATTGTCTTTTTCGTTGCATTTTGTTGTAAATAAACTACCAACAACTATTCTTTACAACGGTGGCTGTTTTCTCTTACCGGGTCTCCTGTAGGCAGGAACCTCCTCATTAACATGTACCATTGACATTTCTACCCCAGCTCGGCAAGTCACTTCCTCAAAGTTAAACAGCACAAAGAAACAGCTTTGTGAGGAAAATGTAAAGCGCTTACAGCCTCTCCTGGGTTCTGTTGTGCCCCAGCTCTGTAAAGGTTTTACCGGGGCAGGTGCCCCATCAGTCTGGCATTAGCCCATTCAGTTGTAAATGACCATTTGGTTGACAAGGAAGTTTTTCAGTGGGGAATCTAATTCTTTATGCAGGGTTTGGCAGCGCAGCGTTTTACCGAATAACGGGAAAATACTGGAAAAGAGACCACTCGAATCCTCTCAGGCTTGTCTCCAAGTCAGTTAATTTTAGTCAACAGAAATTTCACTTGCACAACGGTTCTTTACAAGCTTTTACACAGACACTTTCTCCATAGAAACGGAGCTTTCCCTGCTCCAGAGGAAAAGCTTCAGAGCAGCGTGGGACAGGGCAGGGGGAACAAAGATGGGACTGGAAATGTTTTAAATTGGAAACGGCACGGCAAAGGGACAGAGCCCGCGCAGCTCCGGGGACATCTCAGTGACCCGCTCTGACCTTTTACAGCTGGAGCTCCCATTCTCGGGCAGGACTGCACTGAAATCTGCGCACACTCAAAATCCTACACAGCAAAATACGGGTGAAAACCCGAATGGGACTCTCCGGCTGCGCGGGCGGCGGGGCCGGGCTGTGCTGCCCAGGGGACAATCCCAGCCCGTGCCCCGGCCCAGGGGACAATCCCGGCCCGTGTCCCTGCCCAGGGGACAATCCCGGCCCGTGTCCCTGCCCAGGGGACAATCCCGGCCCGTGCCCCGGCCCAGGGGACAATCCCAGCCCGTGCCCCGGCCCAGGGGACAATCCCGGCCCGTGTCCCTGCCCAGGGGACAATCCCAGCCCATGCCCCGGCCCAGGGGACAATCCCAGCCCGTGCCCCGGCCCAGGGGACAATCCCCCTGCCCCACAGGGCACTCGCTCGGGCGGGGCCGCAGCCCGGGACAGCCCAAACCCCATTGAAGCCTTCACCGGCCAGCCCGGTGCAAATTAGCGCGCACGTGACCGCCTCATTAACATACACGTGACCTTCATTAGTAGAGAGATGACCCTTCTCATTGGCGTGCACGTGACCCATTCATTAGCATAAGCCTGACCCCTCATTAGCATACAGCCGGCACTGCCGGACGAGCCTGGCAGTCGCCGCGGGAGCGATGGGCACCGTGCGCGAAATGCGCCGCGGATGCCTGAACACGGGCAATGCCCATGGAGCCGAGTGCTGCGCTTTGTGACACCGTCCTGAGGACGCTTTCTTTAGCTTGTACAACATTTAGAGTCTCTAACACCCTCGGAAGACAGCGGGCTCGCACACCCCCAGTCCCAGCCCTCTGCAGGAGCCGCCCGGCGCGCTCGGGGGAAGCGAGGCCCGGCCGGGCACGGCCGCAGCGCGCGCTCCCTGTCGCGACAGTGCCGGGCCGGCCCCGCCCCAGGTCACGCGCGGGTGCGCGCGCCGCGCCAGCTCTCGCGAGAGCCGGGCCTGGCCAAGATGGCGGCGCTGTGCGAGAGCTTCACGCTGCGCGGGCCGGGCCCCGGCGGCGACGGCCCCGGGCTGTGCCTGGAGCCGGGCCCGGGCCGCGACCTCGTGCTGCTCACCGAGCGCGGCCGGGCCGCCACGCTCTTCAAGGTACCGCCCGCGCGTGCTCGGGGGGCGGCAGCGCGGCCCCGGCATGGGGGGTGTCCCGGGCAGGGCCGGGGCCGCGCTGCTTCCCGCGTTCCCTCTCTCCCGGCCTGTCCGGGCCAGGCCCCGCTGTCCCCGGCCCGGGAGCGGCTCCAGCCCGGCCCGGCCCGGCCATCCTCTGCCCCCTGCGCTCCTCGCTGCCCCACCTGTGTCTGCTCGGGGACACAGGGCGGCTCAGGCGCTTTTTCGCGTGTTTCTTCTTTTGCTGCTATTCTCTGTCCATTCCCCGTCCCAAAAAACACTTTCCCGAAGCCACAAGTGCGTGTTCCGTGCAGTGCCAGGTTTTGGGCTGTCAGCTCAGTGTCTGCTGCCGTCCTGCTGGCTGCAGGAAGACTTTAGTTTGCAGCACCTAAAAATGAAAGTGTGTTCTGATCTCTGTTGTTCACTAGGCCATAATAAGAAACTTTAAGGCGAATATTTGAGTTTCTCTGTTTATTTGACTATCACATCCATGCAGTTGGGGATTGTAGTGACAGGACAAGCAGGAATAGGAAGTTTCCAAGGCCAGGTGGGATGGGGCTTGGATCAACCTGGGACAGTGGAAGGTGTCCCTGCCCATGGCAGGAGGTGGGACTTGGTGATCTAAGTCCTTTCCAACCCAGGCCATTCCATGATCTAAGTGGGTTGATGATACAACCTCCTTTGGGTTGTTTATTCCCACTGCCAAGACAATATGTGACAACACAACTGTGTTGTAAATATGCCCAGTGTACTCCAGACTGAGAGGGGGTTGAGTGCCCTCAGCAGTCGAGTGTGAATCACACAGAACAGGAGCTCAGACTGCAAAATCCACTGCTCTTGGTCTCAATAACTCGCCTTGGAATAGGAAGAGAAAAAGCACAAGTCTCTATATGATTGTATTAGTCAGTAAAAACAAATTACACTAGTGATAAAATTAATATCTGCCCTTTGAAAAAGCCGTGCCGTGTAGCTGTGCTTCATGTTAGGTCAGATGTGGCTACCTTGCATTTCCTTTCTGTCATGAGAGAAGTCACCAAAGTGGTCTTTCATCTTTCATGTGTTACATTTTAATTGCAGTGTCTTTGTTCTGACTCTGTAGATTTCAGATCAGAAGCCACTGGGCTGTTGGTCGGTTAAACATGGGCAGATTCTCACCTGTCCTGTCGTGTGCAACTTTGAAACCCACGAGTACATCGCAGTGCATGATGACAAGGTGAGAGCCTTCATCCTTCTTTAGAGGGAGCAAGGATTTGGTGGGTCCTCCTGAGGGAATGCATGTAGGAAAAGATCAGCAGTGTGACATTTCTGGTTGAAAGTGTGGGGAGCCCTCGGCACACTGGTGACATGAGCAGCTTCTGTGCTGAGCACCATGGTCTGGCAGCCCTTTAAACACTGGAGGTTCTCAGTGCCTCATGTATGCTCTCCCTAAGGATGAGTTATTTGTCCTGTTGCAGCCTGGGTGACATTTGCAGTTGCATGATCATGGTACTGCAATGGTTACAATAATTCACACCCCCATCTTTGTTTTTCTGCTCTTGTTTCACAGTTAAAAGTTTCTCTGTGTACGTGTAGCTTTTGTTTAGATGATGCTGAGCCTTAGGCTTTTTATTGTTGTTGATGAAATATCACTCCTGGCCTTGCATTGCTTGTGAAAATCAGGCCATCTGTATCTCACCTGTCTCCATCACTTTGATCTACTTTCATTCAGAGTTCTGCTGTGTCTTTTCCTTCATTCTTTCCTGTCCTTTCTTTCCAACTCAGGATTTCTGAGCTTGGTTTCTATTCCTGCTGTTTCTGCTCCCCCCTAGGGCACTCAGGTCACTGTGAATACTCATTGTGTTTCCCTCCTGTTGCAGTTACTGGTATTTGGAGTGCTGAGAAGTCTGTGTGTTACTGTTTTACCTAAAAATGATGCTTCTCTTAAAGGTTTTAAGAATATGGAAGAATGAAGACATTAACTTGGACAAAGCCTTTAAAGCAACAGTAAGTTTCCTTCATGTATTCTCTTCTCTGTGTTTTGGATCCTGGTGGAGGGAAAAAGTCCTCTAATTTTCAGAGTATTGGCCATATTACATTTTGGCTTAATTTGTGCTTCATGATGCTGTGGAGTATTGTAGGGAATCCACTTGCACTGATTTTATCATCAGAATATTTCTCTTAAAATGTTCTCTTAAACAATCTTAAAGTGATTGTTATGCCAAGGCCTCGGCATTTCTCAGGACTTTCTAAAGATGATGAATTATGTTCAATTACAGATCTTTGTGCTCTGCTGGTTGATGTGTTAAACATCACTTTGTGTGTTGCTGTAGAGCAGATGTGTGACCTCCTGACCATGTCATGTTTTTTTCTGATGTGATTCAGGAATGTGATGCTCATCAGGACATTTTTGGCTTTTTGTTGGGTATTTGTGGCATTTCAGCAAATCAGCAGCTACTAGATGTACGTTATTAAGAATCTTAAAGGTTCATCATTCTTCTGCTAAGGTTTATTGGAAAAAGTTAGAATAATGAATAAAGCCCTCAGTTTTCAGGGTAGTGTAGCAGAGATTTGTTTGTGTTCTTGCAGCTCTCAGCAGATGTGTACAGGATCCATTCCCTGCCCCACGGGGGCCCGGTGGTGCTGTTCAGGGGAGGGGGGGTCAGGACTCTGGATGTGCTCTTGGAAGCCCCTCAGCAGGAAATTGAAAATGTCATCTCAGGGGAGGTCATCAGGTAAGTGATGCCACTTTGTGATGATTCTTGCTTGGAGGAACTGACTGTGATGATAAAAGTTGTTCCCTCTTCTGAGGAGATGGGGGGGAAATCAAAGACCAAGATCATGGGGTTGGGTTCCAACACATTGGTTTTTATATCTCAGAATTCCTTACAGAGTTTTCCTAAAAATGAGAAGATGCCTGAGGAATAGTGATATGACTTTATGCATAAATTTAGAATTTGGAGAATGTTCATCCAGCTTTCTGGTTTTAGGTGGAGTGGAGCTTTTATGGAAGGCCAACAACCTGTCTTAATTTTCACTACTGAGAAAGTGAGTTAAATACTTTTTATTAAAAGAACTCTCATAGCAGGAGACCTGAATACTTTTTTCAAAATCCATCACTGGTTTAATTTGATTTTAAGAGCTTTTAGTGGAATCATTATCCTGATATAATCAATACAGCAGTTAAATGGAAGTTGTGTTGCATTCAGGGCTGAGAAGCTGGGCTCTCAGAACTGCAGAGAACAATTAATAAGATGAAGTACAGTGGACATTGTGTTACTCTTCATTGCTCATTGTGAAGAACTGTTGAATAGGATGTATGTTTTTAAAAAAGGAATTATACATGAATCTGTCTTTATGCAAATGCTTTTTCCTGTATGTCCATTTGTTGCATCAAATAAGAATTTTCTTTACTTGTTAGAGTCTGCAGACTGTTCCAAATTATTTTATGTGTCCTATAGAAAACACAACTTCCTAATTTTTCCACAATGTCTAAAGCTAAGCAGTATTGATACCTGAATTTCTGTTATATCATCTTTGTGTAAATTAAGGGAAAATTTTCTTTTCTTTTTTTATTTTAGGATGATGATTTTTTTGTCTATGTACAGAAACCTAAGCTGAGTAGTCTACACAAATACAAGCTTGAACAACAGGAATCAGCCAAGCCACTGTGTTTCACAGCACATATAACAAACCAAATTGTCACACTTCTGTGTTTGTGTAAGTTACATTTGTTAATGGGTTGTGATAAGGAACAAAGAATTGTATGAAATTACATGAAATGTTCATATTTATGATATACTGTTTAATATTTTTAGTTTTTTAAACTTCCCAAAACAGCTACAAGTAGTAATTAAAGATTCCTGATACTTTAATGGATACCTGTGATCACTTGCACCCTGCAGATCTCATTACACCTTTATTGCTGTACCTTAATTTTGCTGCTTTGAATCATAATAAGTCCTTTAAATATCCTGTATTAATTCTTCTTTCAGCATTCACTGGCTATTGTTCTTTTTGGATGTCCTTTTGCCATATGATATCAAACAGGTTTTTCCCACAAAAATCAGTTATAAAAGTGATTATTATTTTTCTTTTAACAGATTCCAATGACTCTGTGTACCAGGTTCTGATACCTCTGCAGCAAGATTCTGAAGAAGAAGAAGAGGAAGAAGAAGAAGAAATTTTGTCCAAGTCACTTCTACTAAACCTTTCAGTATCTGGAGCTGTTCTGAAAGGAACATCTTTAGTTGTCCTGGACAAAGACCACGTTGCAGTGTTGGGCAGTCTGGCTGCACCTAGGAAAGAGCCCAGAGGTAGCTTGAAAAATCATATTAAGATGTTGTAAGGTCTAAAATTTCCTTGGGCAGAGCACTAGGTGGAAAAATTGTGCTGTCCCTCTTGTCCTAGCTTCTGGTTTAAAGCTCTTCACTGGAAAAACAACTTTTCTTTAAATTGGGATGTAACCTAATGCTGAATACTGGCTGAGCTGTTTTCTAACAGCTATTTCTGTTTCCTCCAGCGTTTGTAACTGAAAGTAGCAAAAGCAAATGTAGCACTTATGTTGCTTTTTGGTCTCATCTATGTCTTACTTCCCTCAGAGTGCCTGACCATATGGAATACAAAATTTCAGACGTTGCAAACCTCAAAGGAGCTGCCCCTGGGGACCAGTGGCCAGGTAAAGCTCGGCCAGGGGTTTGGGGTTCTTGTGCATTTGACAGCAGGGAGGGGAGTGTTGGGCTGCAGAGCTCTGCTGGTACTGGAGGAGCAGTAATTGCAAATTCTGCAGCAAAATTCATAGTGACCACTTGATGAGTAGTTTCTGTCAGAATATTCATTGGGAGGATGGTGACCTGTAGAAATTTCTGTGATAATTTAGTACTTTGTCACTTCTCATGGTCATGATTATTTTGTGTGAATAAAATCACTGAACACAAAACCCATCAGTGCAGGAACTCACTTTTCTGCTCATCTCATTGATGATACACTTCAATATTTTGCAGTTGTGGTGTTATGAGGAAAAATTTTTTCTAATTCATGGGAAAGTGCTGACTGTAATTATGTACAAGTGTGAAACATCATCCTTGGCAGCTGCTGTGGGAAAGCTCAAGTACAGTCAAACTCCTGGTAAGATTTTTTTTTAATAATTACAGTGAAAAGATCTTGTAAAAGGAAGATGTCTGAAATTGTATAAAAATTATTTTAATAGTCCTATAAAATTAATTTAAGTTAAACAGTTCGAAGCAACTTCACACTGTACCATGTTCCTGGCTGTTAAATTTACTGGTGCTGGGAACACCAAAGCACCAAATGTCTGAATTTATTGTGGCTTCACTTAACCTAGGTTGTCATTCAGATACTGGAATTACTGAGAACACTGGAATGCTGGTGATGAATACTGAAAACAAAGTGAAGTGCTGTTTCCTAAAATGTATTTTCAAAGAGTATGTGATTGGATAGGGTAATGTCAAAGCTTAGTTTGTGAATTTCAATTTGAAATTGTACTGTCATAGTGGTTTTAATTATACACTGCATTGATAAAACATTGCAAGTAATGCTCAGGATAAATTGTGTAATAACTTACTTCTCCTGCTCCCAGAGGCAAAATGGAGAAACAGTATAAAAAAGGTCATAAAATTACCTGCTGCTGAAATAAAACTGGCAGCTTTCTTGGCATAAAACCACTTGCATTATAGTTTAGAAAATATCTATTAGCATAAGAAGTTGATGCAATATTCATACTTCAATAAATGTGCTGTAAGTGTTATCTTCATGTAGTTTCATTTGTGTGTTCCCAGATGTGTCCTTGTTTATGAACTGGAATACCCTGGAGGATGAAGAGCTGGTGGCTTCCTTTCAGTCCCAGGAGTCTGTAGCTCTGAAAGCAGACTCCAGACTGAATGTAAGTTAGCATTAGGGTCGTTTGAGGTGGTTATTTGTCTTGTCTCTTCCCCATGCTGCTATTTTTAGGTGTTGTAGCAGAAAGAAATTTCACTTTATCTGTTACTGATTGTTTCTAGCACTGTTTCTGGAATTGGAGATGGTAATCATAGTCTGGAAAGCAGGTTGACACATGAAGTTTCCAATTATATTGCTTAAAATCCTTAAATATTTTGGAGCTGAATAATAACTCTTTGTTTTGCTTTACTACAGTTAAGATCAAGAAAGAGCAGTGTTGCTGAAGAACAGCCAGAGCCCTTATCAGTTGGGCAGATCTTAATAAATTTCAAAGTAAGTAACCCAGATATTTTCAAGTAGTGTTTAAACACTCTCAGAATATTCTAGGTATCTCTTAAAACTGTTACCTCTTTCCATGTCCTCTTGCACATATCAGGTTGGCCAAGCTGCCTTGAACAGGTGTGGTGAAGGATATTGTTACTATCATTATTGTGCAAGAACAGCATTTGGCATGATGAAATTAAGTTTTGTCATAGGAGTGTGTTTTGAGAACTGTACAATACAGGGCTTACAGCAGCTGAGTTCTGAAAACTTGAACAAATTTGTTCATTTTTAATGACAGTCTCTTGCAGTAAATAAGGGAGGATATTTCATCTAAACTTTGCTTGTTTAGGTTCTTATTTATGACTTTAATTTTGTCGAAGGCCTTTTGGTTGTAGGAAGTCAGAAGAATTGTCAGGAATTCCACTGCAAATGCAGCAGTAAGATCTAGTTCCTTCCTAGAACTTGCTCCAAGTGCTGTGATAGGTCACAGTGGGACAGGAAGGGACACCTTGGTATTGTCACTGATGTAGCAGGTGATGAATCCATGAGCAGTTACTGCTTGCCTGAGTTTAGAGTGAGGAATTCTCTCATTTGGCTCTTTCATGCTTGAAAGAAACTATCCTAGCAAAACACAGAGAGGTGAGGAATTTTTGTAAATTTTTCTAACTTGAATTCCGAAATAGGTCTGCTTCTACTTGGTCTAATTCATGCCAAGGCAGTTCTCAAACATTTGCCTTGTACTTCTGAGTTGCACAGTGTTTGTCTTTTCCAGGATGCTTCTAATTATGTGTTGGAAACCAGATTGAGAAAACTGATGACAAAAGCACCGACCCCAGATCTGCAAGCCACCATTGGCTGTGTGGTCACTGCCCTTACAGACAGATGTAAAAGAAATCCAAAGTACTACCCTCAAAATTTCCTGCATGAGATTGTTGAAACACGGAACTTGTCCTACAGGTAGTGACTGCATTTTTTGAAGTGTAAGAAGTAGTCTTTAAAATTAAAAGAAGTAGAAATAAAGTTCTTTATAAGCTGCTCTTGAATTACCAGAATTTAGTAGCAGAGGTGTTTATTTTCTGATGAAGTTGGTGTTTTACATAAAAATCCGCCTGGGGAGGAAGATTAGTACTATTACCTTAGTCGTCAGTGTAGTTCTCAGTGTGGACTGTGCAACCTATTGATTGCATATTCTTACAGTTTATGTCCAGATTTAATGGCTGTTGCTTTGGAGAAAAAAGATATGCATCTCTTACAACTCTGCCTAGAACGGTTTCCAGATATTCCTGAAGAAATTACTTATGCTTGCCTGAAAGCATTTTTAAGGTAACTTGAAATATTTTCTTTTTTTCTTCACCAAATTTTAGTCTGCTTTTGTTTTTGTAATAAGCTTCAAAGAATTCTTTATGTGTGTTGATGGAACTGCTGATTTTAAAGCTAATAATTAAAAGTGTAAAATGTCTGAAATTTTTTTCCACAGCATGAGTGAATCCCATCTTGAAAACATGGATGTAAATCTAGATTCCGTGATCTGTTACATTGATGTTGAATTCGACAATAAAGACGTTAAGACTGAAATTGTAGAGAATGGTTTCAGAGCAGAGATGGACCAGGACATGTGTGGTACCAAAATCCCAAAGGAAAGCCAGTCCAGGAGTGATGATGACTCCTGCCCTATTGGGCCTCAGAAGGCAGCACTGCTGTATCCTCTGCGTGTGAAGGGAAGCCAGAGCATTGCATGTGCTGTGGATGTTCAGATCTGGTATTGCCAAAAGGCACATCCTCTCTTCTTGCTGAAAGTTTGAGGTCTCATAAAAGCGGTTCCTACTCAGTAAAAAAGTGTTTAAAATATATATAGAAACATTTAGCTTTTAGAATGTATCTACACTGGTTTAAACTTAGTTTTATTACACTATTGCAATAATCTTCCTTTACTTAAGAGAAGAGTTATCACTGCTTTGGATATTTGCCTGTTCAAACACATCAGGCAGTTACACCCTTGCAGTGGACAGAACTGTTCAAGTTAAATCTACCATGATGGTTCAGTTGCTGTAGATATTTCATGACAGAAATAAGATTCAAAAACGTGGAGAAGTATTTTCTTTAGAATTCACTCTGGTTTGTAGAAACTGGTATTTTTCCTGCAATGTTATTCCCTTAATAGCACTGGCCAGAAATGCTATTCTCCATTCAGCTTACACTGAAACATTTCTTTTGCCTCACCTGAAAAACCTTCCAGCTGAAGAAGCTATTGTAAGTATTTTAATATTATAAGGTTTTAAAAGTCTTACTATTATTTTGTGATGAGGGAAAGGGAAGAGAGTTTTTCTATTGTATATGAGAAATTCACTATTCTTTCTGCTTTCTGAATAACGAACTAATGCACCAAAATTAATTAGGATGCTTGATAAAACTTAATAGTAAGGAATATCACATTTTTCCACATACTTCAGTAATTTTCTTGATATTTGTAGTCCTAACTTGTTTTAGAACAGCATACATGGTCTTTATGACCAGCATACATGGAAAATGTTCATATTCTGTTAGCAAGTAATAATACCTTTGCTTGATTTAGATGCTTTTTAGGAAAGGAAAAAGTCACAGTAATTTAGTCAGTTATATCAGAAACAGAAATGTAGAAAATATGAGAAACAAACTCTATAATCCCAAATGTAATACAAATCTTGGTCTCCTCAGTTTAGGGGAAAAAGCCACCAAGCCTCCCCAATTTCTCAGAATCTGAAATAGAACTTACAGAGCTGTGTGTACCTGAGCATATATGTGATTTTCCAGTGATTTCAGAAAAACCCCACACATCAGAACAAAGCTGATCTCCATTCTGACACATTCCTGGAACAGTGATTACTCCGAATGTAATTTACACTGAATACTGCTGAGAAATTTCAAACATCTAGCTATGAGTAGTGTAAGAAAACCATAAAACTTGTTTTTAATGTGTAGTATACAGGCATTCATGTTTGCATTCAAAAACAGAAAAAAATTTAAAATCCTTATGAAAATTACCATGTGCAGGACAAAACCCCTTGGTCTAGTAAATGTCTGTCCTTTACAAATGTTCTGACTTTCTACTTTCAGCTATTTCTCAGGTATTTATATTACCTGTATGTGAAATGCAGTGAAAAAGTTAACACCACTCTTCCTGGAATACGCTCTCCCACAATAAATCAGGTGAGCAGCTCATTCTAAGAGCTGTACTTCCTTCCCTTTCTGGGCTATGTAACTGTGAGTAGTTGGGGAATATCTAAAATCACCTGACATCTACATTCATTCTACCAAGTGCTGTCTGTCAGTGTAACCTGTATGAAGTCAGGTGTAACACTTTAACAATCAAATTCCAAATATGCCTGAAAATATGAACCTGTGCATTTTGTATTAGAAGTTAATGTCTCAGAGTTCAGCTTTTAAAGCCAGATGTGAGTTAGTTCCAGACTGGGAAGTGTAAGTGTAGTTTTCTTGTTTGTCTTCAGATCATGGATTGGATGTGCCTGTTGCTTGATGCTCACTTCACTGTCATGGTGATGCTGCCAGAAGCAAAGGAGTTGCTTTCAAACCTGCATAAGTTTGTGAGAGCCCAAGTAAGTTGCATCTTCTGGGATAATTATTTGAATTTCAGTTGGATGTGGAATATGGTTGTTGAGAAAGGGGGGAGACAGACAACAACAAATTATATAGTGAATCCAACCGTGTGTGTCTTCCTCTGTATGTTTTTTCCTGAGCATGAATTACAGTTGCCTCAGTCGCATTTGGATTTCAAAAGCTGCTTTGTTTGGTTTAAATATCCTAAACTGTGCAGAACCACAGATAGTTCCACAGTATGATGATGTATGAAAATAATTAAAATGTATTTTGCTATAAATGTCTCTGTTTTCTTCTTTTAAGGTACGGTTCTACTCAGAACTCAACAAGATAGAAGGAAGTTTGCGGGAATTACAAAGACTGAACCACCTGAGAGAATCTCACACCTATTCTATTGAAGTGCTGGAAATCATTTGAATTTGAAATTCATTAACACATTTATTTTGTATTGATTCCTTTTATGACAAGGATTTATTAGCACTCCATATTGGGGCTGTCAAAAGTTGTTTTCTACATAGGAGGAGCCTGGTTACTCTGTAGCTACATGGGAGTTGTAAGTTTTGAACCTTGTGTATTAAAAGCTCTCTTTTTGACTGGATGAGAAGCTGGATATTTGCTTATATTTTCATGTAGAATTTTGATATGTGATCATGAGAACTTCCTAAAATACCACATGATTCTTGGCTAAACCCAAGATGATTGTGGCAGAAGTGCTGGGGGCATAACCTGCTGTCTTGGGCTGTGTAACTTGGAAAGAGCTGCACGCACAGTTCAGTGGCTCGAGTCACTTTGGAAGGTAACAGTTTCAGTTGTGTTTATACACTGACAGTACCAAATCTATGTAGAAGTCTAAAAAAAACAACCCTGCAGTGGCAGCTGAAGATTTGTATAGAGGGGGACTTCTTGGCACTGATAGTGGTTGCTTTCAATATTTTGGACAAGAAAACTTACCTTGAATTTAAAATAAGAACATTCTTACCTACATTAGTTTGTTTTCTGTAAGTACTTTACAACTATTGAACACCTCACCTTAGTTTATGTCACCTATAGTGCTTGATTTTTAGCTTTTCAAAGTATATCTTAGATTGGTTTTGACTCTCTTTGAAATACAAAGTGATTACTAAAGTTTTATGTAAGCAACATTTGTTGAAGATTTTACAGTTATCTGTTGAATTATTCTTCTGATGAGGCATTCACTTAAAGCTGACTTGTCACAAGATACTTGTGGGACTATTCATCTGGAATAAGGAAAAATGGGACAGAAGCATAATGCTGGATTTCCTGGAGTCAAGTATAAGATGGATGGTTGGGGACAAGATAATCAGTACATTTTCAGAACAGCAAATACAATGTTATTTTTACTTATTTTTTCTAATGATGTGATTGAATATTAGTAGAATTCAGCGTATCAGTGCATTGATATACTTTGGTTTTCATCATGTAAATAAAATGGCAATTGGAATTATATTGAATTACCTCAGCAAAAGTCATGTAAGCCCTTCCTTCCTACACCTGACTTCCAGTCTGCTGCTGAGCTCTAGTGTAACTTTACTCAGCAACACTGCGGTGTCTTAGAAAAATGTACGTGGAACTGATTGGAGAGCTGAACACCTGAATGCAATTCCTAACACAAGTTATGAGATAGTTTGGAGTGAAGGACTGGACAAAAGCATCTCAATAATTTAAGCAAGAGCATATGCTCACTTGTTCTGAATGCCATCCAGCTGTAGGTTAAGTTCTTTCTCTTATCCTTGGAGAAAGGACAACAGCTTGGAACAACTGGGCTATTCACCTTCAATGTTCCTTGTGAAAGGAGGTTTTTTTTCTCCATCTGTCCTAAGGATGGAAGCAGGATAGGGCCTCCACACAAAAATTCCTCTTCCTGCTGTATTCAATTCACTTACAAAGATGTTCATTTAACTCTACCAGCAGACTCCAAATAGTTCCAAATCAGTATGTTCTCTTGAGTGCAATGGGCAGGTATTTAGGGTTTCCAACACACAGCTCAGTACAGAGAAAGGACTAATTTACATCCTGTCCCTGAAGGTAACATCGCTCGGTGCACACATTTCTCCATCATAAAATGAAAATTATTAAGTTCTATTCAGTAAGCAATTCCACATCACCAACTGATAAGGGATGGGATTAAGAGACGAGATACTCTGGTTCACAGATCCAAAAGCACATGACTCTCAGCACTTTTGATCTACCACAAATACACAAGATCTGCAGTATTTCAGAGGTGTTAGTGCTTTCACAATGCTGCAGGCTGTGTTTGGTGCAGTAGGTGCACTAGGACCGTTGTTAGATTCTCGATGTATAGATGGCAGATGCACAGGTGTTTTTCCCATGATACCAGAAGGGGATAATGGAAAATGTATGTCTGTGTATTCATGTATTTAAAGAGTTACCACAATCTTCTGCAATCTTTTAAGAAGTAGCAAAAATCAGCCTGACATAAGCAATCTAAAGGTAACTTGGAAAGGTTCAGAATATAAATGGAGTAGAAAGGTGTAAATGGGGTTGGGCAATGTTGGCTGCTGCTGTGTGTGTCATCCTGTGTTTAGACTAGGGCTTTGAGCCTGTACAGCTGCTACACTGAATATAAAAGAGCTGCAGATAAAAAGCTGGATATAGAGTGCAAATTGGGCTAAACCCTGCTGCTACTGTTGCATGCTTGATGCTGTGGCAGGTTTGTGGGTTTAATGAGGTGCTTGGCCTGACCAACAAGTTAATGAACAAAAGGACTTCAAAAATTACTACAGAAGAATGCAAATTAAATGATATGTTGGACATGTTGCTGCCATGTTTATGGCATGACCAGTGTTGGGTTTTACCTTGCTCAGAAGTATAAGCAAGGGACTGAAAGAAATGAACATGTAAACAGACTGATTTTCTAATGATAAGACTTCTGGCTCTCTGAAATCCTAAAGCTGTCTTGATCGAAGGCAGGCTAGTTGTAAGAAATACAAGATGTCTGTGTGCCTTGGGCTGGCTTTCAGTTTTTACTGCTTTTGCTTATGAAACGGATACCCTGAATTCAAGTGGCAGCATTGGAAACCCAACTGTGCAACTGGTTTTTGTTGATTTTTAGCTCTTTGTGGGCTCTGGCAAATGAAACAATCAGAGGGATTACAAAGCAGACGGAGCCCATCTCTTTCCTAGTGCTCCAGGGAACTGTGGAAACAGCAGAATAGAGGAAGTGGATGGACAAAAACGGTGATGGTATGTCCCTATGTGATCTCAGCGTTTGCTTTACACGGGTACTGGCCGTGTAAGGGTGAGCTGTAAAAGGGGTTTAACGGGCGAGGAGTCAAAGCACGGCCAGAGATGAGTGTCAGTGGTCAGGGGAGCTGCTTGGTGCCGATGGCGGAGGGAAGCCTCACCCGAGGGCCAGCCGGGGCTCTGATTTAGGCGGGGAATGAAGACCCCCGTGGGGAGCCCCTGGCCGGGGCCCGGCGCGCACCTCGCTCAGAGCTGTTCCCGACGGGCCCGGGACTCCCTCGGGGAGCGGGTCGAGCTCTGGGAGAGACCCCGGCCACGGGCCCAGCGGCTCCGGTGTGGGGAGAGGCTGAGTCCGGGGGCAGGGCCGGCTAAGGGAGCGCCGGTGGAGGGACCGTGAGATAGGGCGGGGGGCACGGCGGGTGCCGGCGGAGGGGAAAGGGGCAAGCGGACCATAAGGGGGCGAGGAGCGGTGCTGATGCCGGTGGCCGATGCCGGGTTCGGATTCGGGGTCGATGCCGCGTTCGGGTTGGCGGTTGGTGCCGATGTCGGTGCCGGGGTCGGTGTCGGTACCGGTGTCGGATCCGGGGTCGGTGGTAGGTTCGAGCTCGTTCCAGGTTCGGTGCCGGGTCCGGGGGTCGCGGGGCCGCCCCGTCGCGGCGGCTCCCTCACGGCCGTGGCGGGCGCGCCCCCTGGCGGCGGCGGCGGGCGCGGCGGTCACGTGAGGCGCTCGGGGCCTGGTGCCGCTTCCCCCAGTCAGCGCGGAGCGGCCGAGGCGCAGGCGGGGAACAAGATGGCGGCCGGCGGCGATCCGGAGCGGGGCGCCGGCGATTCGCGTTGAGCCGCCCCCCCCCCGCCCCGGGCCCGCCCCCTCCGCGGGGCGCGGAGCTTGCCCGTAGCCGCCTGTCCGGACTCCGAGCGCCCTCCCGAGCCGCCCTTCCCCTCCCTTCCCCCTCGGCCAGCGCCCAGCGATGCGGGGCCGGCGCGGCAGGCCGCCCAAGCAGCAGCAGCCGGCGGCGGCCGCCGCTCCGGCGAGCGCCCCGGCTCCGGCGGGCCCCATCGGCGGGCTGCGCTCCCGGCAGCGCGGCAGCAGCCGCGGCAGGTGGGCGGCCGCGGCCCAGGCGGAGACGGCGGGGCCCAAGCAGAAGGGAGCCGGCGCTGCCCAGGCCTCGTCGCCCGCCGCCGCCGCCGCCTCGCCCAGGGGGGGCGGCAAGAGGAAGGCGGGCGGCGGCGGCAGCAGCACCCCCGGTGGGGGAGGCAGCGGCGGTAAGGGCAGGGGCAGGGCCGGGGCGGCAGGAGCAGGGGGAGGAGGAGGCGCAGGAGGCAGCTGCAACAGCCAAGGCAGGGCTGCCTCGTCCAGGAGGAGCATCAGCAAAGTGGTGTACGACGATCATGAGAGCGAGGAGGAGGAGGAGGAGAGCATGGTGTCCGAGGAGGAGGAGGACGAGGGAGACCCCGAGGATAATCAGGACTCCGAGGAGGAAGAGGAGGAGGAGATAATGGAGGAGGAGGACGACGACGACTCTGACTACCCCGAAGAGATGGAGGATGAAGACGATGCCAGTTATTGCACTGAGAGCAGCTTCAGGAGCCACAGCACCTACAGCAGCACCCCAGGTAGAGAGTCCGTGGGCGAACTCAAACAAGTCGAGGGCACCCCACATGCTCCCTCTAGGTTGGCAAATACGGTCCGCGCTCCCATGCGAGGATGTGAGGGATGCCCGCAAGCACTCCCAGGGAGAGGGGTATGCAAATAACCGCTGGCAACCCCGGGGACGCGGGGAGCATTGGAAGATGCTCACAAACGCATGCACGGAGAGGAGCAGGGAGGGCGGGCGGCACTCTCTGAAACAAGGGGATGCTTTGCAAATATTCGTGGGGAACCTGGTAACCGCAGAAATGCGCGATCCACCAGGACGTGTTGCAAACAATGTCAAAAGTGTCGTGAAGCATTCACTTTAAATTTAAAAACAAGGGAAACGACAGGCATGCCACGCAGAGAGGTCTTTTCAGTTAAATACAGGAAAGGCTGGCTTGTGCTTGCAAATACAACTTGATGTTGAAAGGAAAGGAAGCACATGTAAGTTGAAGTGGTTTGAAAAACCAAAAAAACTATAAACACCGAGAATTTTCAGGCTTTTGAGATCAGAGCTATAACTGGATCCAGCATCTATTGGCTTTAAGACAAAAGTAGCTTTCCAAGGAGGGAAATGAGGTGCATTGTTCAAAATGGAGATTGCATTGTTATAGTTTGGGGAAAAGTGCACAGGGCCTCATTGCAAGGATATAGTTTGAGTTCAACACAAAGATTAAAAGGTGGAGGTTGAGTCAGAGGTCTTGCATTTAAACACTGCGTTTATCTTAAGATATGGCAGCCTTTAAAACTCATATTTGGGTTAAAATTCATTAAACATAATTGTGATTTTTTTTTTTTTTTATTCTAGTAGAACATTTGGGAAATTTTTAAGGCCTGCATTTCTGTTTGTCCTTAATTGGTTCATTCACTAAGCTTCAAAAATTCTTTTATTTCAACTTAAGCACTTTGAATTTATTTGATTTATTTGAACTCATTCCAGAACTGAATTAAAACTTAGACTATTTTATTTTTATTTTTTATTTTTTATATTCTTTTCTTTTTAAATCTCTGAACCAGGAGAATAGTTCAACTTATAGGTAACCTGGTATGATTTGGGCTGCAGGATGGCAGGCTGCTGTTGCTCCAGTATTTGGCCAGTTTGGAAGGGGGGAGGAACAGGTTGTTGGTGTGAATGCATTGCATCTTAATTTAAAAAGGAATGTAGTTCTGAATTGTTAGCTGATGACTTTTTAAAAGGGGGAAATACTGGCTGCTAAATGTGTAGCTTGTTTTTATTTTGGTGGGTTAGTGATATCAGCTCATTCTATGACTTCATAATAGTACTTTAAAAAGCTCTATATGTTTGTTTATATATATTTTTTAAACTTATATCCATATGCACCAGAACCTAAATGAATCACAATAGGTACATACATTACTAAATTTATTTAGACATAATTTTTTAAAGATGTTAGTTTACCTGTTGCAGGAGTGTCCTGCAATCAAATCGAAATTTTTTGAATAAAGATTCAGATCTGGCTTCACAAAAGGAAAAAAGCTCTGAAATTCTCTCTTGACTTTTAACTCTCCATTTTCTGCTTAGTTGTGATACCTTTCATTTTTATTACCTTTATGAGAGTGCTTATGTCAGAGAAATAATATTTTTATGATTTTAACTGGCTAGGTCAGGATAATATTTTTTATAGGAGCATCCAGGTTTAAAATGAGTTCTGCAGAGAATGGGTGTATGCCATTTTTCAAATGTGCTAAGTGTTTTGGCAAATCAGAAGATAGCTCTGTGTGCATTGTTGTACAAGCATAGACAGGTTTATGTGGTATTTAGGTGTATCAGAAACCATTTTGATAATTTATATGTTTATTTCTCACTTGGTCAGGGTGACTTCAGTTAACTTTCTTAAGAGAAGTCTAAGTGTAAGCATTTTTATCTTTTAGGTGCTTTCGCTCTATATTGAGTTTTTGAGAGCTAAAACATTTGTGTTGTTATTTTGGCAATTTACCGGTGGTTCTTATTAGCTCAATGTTTGCCTAAAAGTGCTTCCCTCTCTCCCAGACACACTCTTGCTCTTCTGCAAAGGAAATACAAACTTTTCATTCAGGCAGCTCAGTCCGTGCCTCCTGCTGGACAAACACCTGCTTTGGGAGCGCGGCTGTGCAGGGGTGGCACCGATGGAAATCTCGGTTTTGTCACAGTCGGGAGATGCCGGGAGTCAGAGCAGACTGACCGGCCAGGAAGGGTTTGTGTCCGGTCAGGATCTGTGTGTGTGTGTGACGGGGCCGGGGCAGGGCAGGGCTGTGTCTCTGGTGTCCCTTCAGGGTGCACCCTGAGCCGCAGCTGGTCCTTGGCTGTGTGCAGATATCGGGGTTATTTCACAGCCTTGTCTTCCAGCCGGGCAGTGTGACACAGTGACAGAGTTCTTGTGCTGAGCTGCAGGGCTCCAAGGAGCTCTCCTGCCTTGGCTCCTGACAGAATTGTGCAGGTTTTTTACCAGAAGAGGTGATGAACAATCCTTCTCCCCTTATCTCCAGCCACTTCCAGGATGTACTCTCAGGGGCTGAAGAGTGTTTTTGAGAGCAGGGTATTGAATAATTACCATCCCAGTCAAACTCTCCTGCCAACCAAGCTTTTACACATCCCACTTAAATGGGGGATAGACTTGGTACAGTTTTTTCTAACTTACGTTGAACAATGAATTAAAAGATCACAGAGCATTGTCTCTGGCCAAGAAAGCTTCAGGTTTTGTGCTCTGATGTGGAGCTTATGATTTATCTTGAACTTAGATGTAGGAGTACTTTCTATTATAATATGATAGTAAAATTAATATTATTATAATATTATTAAACTATTTGAAGAAGCAGAATCTTAGAAAACAGAAAATCTCTTTAATATACCACTTAGTCACAGTACAGTAAAAACATACTGTGTGAATAACAATTACTTCTTTTTATTCTGCTGGATGTACTTTAGATGGAGGGATTTTGTGTATGTGTAATGTCCCTTCTCTCTCACCCCTTTGCATCCCCAAAAGGTGGGTGAACTGTTGGGACAGGGATCCTGTATAACTTGTATCACTAACCATTTTTGCCATTCCCTGTCCACTGTAAATTCTACTTGAGACTTGTCACTGTTGCATTATAGTTACTAAGTATTTAATATGTTGCAGAATTTTTAGAGACTAGTTGAATCAGGATGCCTGGAAGTCCTTAATTTTTTGTTTATTGATTTTTATTCATCAGAAAACTAGTTTTAGGAAGAGTTATACATCTAGATTTATGTCATCTAGATCTAGATGAGATCATCATCAGTCTGTGAAACAAACAAATACACAACACTGGAGTTGGGAGACAAAATATTTATCTGAAAATACATTAAATACTTTTAGTTGGATTTTGTTTGTCTGAGCATTTGCAGGGATTGACCGTTGCTTCTGTTAAGCAGTTACTTCACAGTGTGCTTTTATCTTCAGAGTGAAAGAATTTAGCTGGGAACCAGGTGCTGCATTTGGTGTATCTGTAGTAATTTTTTATCTGAACATGTTTTTTGTGCTCTTGAAGAATTGTCTAAGTGGAGACACTGAGATATGACATTAAGATATGCATCCTCTTTTTTTGGCATGGGAAAAGATTTACCAGCCTCCCAAACATCTTACCTGGGCTCCCTCTTCTCTAAAATAAACCTCATATTCTCTTATTTTACCATTTAGTGATCTGCACTTTGATTTGTGCTCTAGAGGGAAGGATCACTAGTTGTCATGCCAGTCTTGAAAAATGACTCTTAACAAAGAAATTGTGTAGAAGGCCAAAGGAATGAATCTGGGGCTGATCCTGCTGCATTGACTTGTAAATTGGCAGCTTATCTGAAGAGAGGTTTGTCAGTGATCTCAGAAGCTCTGAGCAGCAAATACCTGGCCTTTATCAAAGTATGTGTGTTGTAAAAGGTTGCGTGCTGCTGATGACTTTATTGAGCAAACTTTTTTGGTAGATCTGCAGTAAAATTCAGTAAGTGCTCATTGTGTTGCACAGAACAGGTGTAATATGAATAAATGTGGATTTTAGTAGGTTGGGGCTGGCTCTCAGGGCTCACTAACTTCTTAAATTAGTTACAGCCTATCACGAGTGTGTCCCAATAAATTGTCTGACTGTTCCTGAGAATCATTTTATTTGTGCTACCTTTGGTTTTGTTGAGTTTTTTTCTTTGCCTGGGTTCTGGGCACAAAAAGGTTGTGCCTCTGAGTCCCCCTCAGAGTGATCTCACCTGCTGCTTGTCTTGCATTTGCATTAGTTAGCCAAATGTTAAAATGATTCCATCGATCATGGGAGGGTTTGTATTCCTGGCTCCTGAGGGAGTGCTGATGGCCATAATGTTGGGAAATTAAAATCTTTATGTAAAATCAGTCGAGAACCCTAGTTTGATCTAAAGGTGTACTGCTGACAGTGTGCAAACTGAAAAAAAAAAAGAAGCACCCAAAAGTTTTACAGTTTTAAAAGAATATAAAGACCTACTTTTGTACAAGGCAAGGTAGGAGTCAAACTTCACTTAAGAACACGTGAGAATTTGTGTGATGTGAGTGCACTCAGGACCTAGTCTAATGACCAGTGATTTTTTTCATTTGTGTTTCAACTTCCAAAGCTTTATTGGTGCTTGGAATGCCTAATTTTTAATGTTAGTTTAGTTTTTAAGTTTTATTTATGGCTGATTTTTTTCTTTTCTCCAGACTAAATAAATAAATTTGGGTTAAGTGTGATTACTGTAGAGTAATATTCAAATTGGAGCTGCACCTACAAGTAGTTAAAAATGCATCTTATGCTTTTAGAAAATTTTCCTATAAGAGACTGTTTGACTTGTGAATATTAGAGACATGATTATCGTGTTGGCATTTTTAAAAAGGAAAAAATGTGTTTTATGGAAGTCAAAGCCTTTAATTTCAGCCCATCCCAAGAGAAAGATTTAGGTTTTTCTATTTTGGCACTGCTTTTCATAATATATTCTTATTTTATTCATTTTAGTGCTGTTTTTTCTTTG